GACACCCCGCCGCTTTTTAAGATGAATAATTTATGCTAAGGCGATAGCTGAAAGTGATATCAGAAAGCAGAACCCCGCGGCTACGTAATTACCCGTCACGACTGCCGGTTGATCCGTGGTTTTGAAAACGGCCAATGGTCTAGAAAACTAATGTCAGCATGTTATGATTTTAGATTATCATCGACGTGGATGAATTTCCACAGTAGCGATGAAAACCCAAGCCCATACATTCAGTCCGGCGCAAGCAAATGCTCTTGTCCCAGGGTCACCTAAGCTATTGCCAGAAGTGTTAGCTTTGAATAGTTGAAAAGACGTCAATCCGCAAATGCTTTATTTTACAGAATGTCTTGAGTCCATGCCCAGAACATGCTATTGCTGGCTTGGGCCCAGTCGGTTTGATAGTAGAGAAACCACCGAAAGGTTCGGTTTTGGGGAAAGACTGGGGTTGCGCCATGAACGATGCATACAACTCCATTGATCACCCCCCCCCCCCCCCCCCCCCCCCCCCGGGCAGAATTAACATTGGCCATCGACGGCCGCGAAGCCTGTATCACCTTTGCAATAGTTAGTATTTTTGATTAATTCCCCCAAGAAGAGGACGCACTAGACCAGGCCATGCACAGTGTAATGACGACAAGAATTCCCTGAATTGGGGTGACATAGTTATCTGCACAACAATTAGCCATGTATGAATATCTTCACAATGTTAGGACATACTGATTTGTGGCACGGTGTAAGATCCCTGACTGATTTGGTTCCAAGCCTTGAGCCAAAATGCCATTGAGTTCGCGGACTGATTGCCAATCGAGTTGCCACTTTGTATTGTGTTAGATTTTCTTTCAAAAGAACAGTATAAATTTTGTGCTAGTCTCACATTGAAATAGACCACAGGAGCCAAATCTCGGGTATGAGTAGAATGACGTGCATTGACTATTGGAACTACGCATCCGTATATAGAACGTACATACATCTTGGACATCTTGAAGACCTTTACGACTAACAATAACTGCCAGCCTTCCGATAACCATCTCCATCATCGATTGCAATATGGAATACCGGTTTCTTGGTCGTACTGGTTTGAAAGTCTCGGCTCTCTCCCTGGATCACACACGGCGGCCATGTGGCAGATGTGCAAGTTAACAACTTGGTGTAACAATTTCAGATGACGGCCTTTGCGTGTATTAAAGCTGCTCACGACGCAGGGATCAATTACTTTGATACTGCGGAGAATTACAACGCGGGCCAGGCCGAGGTAGTGTTGGGTAGGGCCATCAAGCATTTTGGTTGGAAGCAGAACGATCTAGTGATTTCAACCATGGTAAGCTTTGTGCACCGCAAGCCGACAAAGTACAGTGCCACTGACTTTTTGCCGTTGAAAAGCTTTATTTTGGTCAAAATAACTCTGTTGATCCTTCCAACCCGATCAACAACGTGGGGCTATCAAGAAAGCATCTCATTGAAGGCCTGAACTTCTCTCTGGAGCGACTTAAATTGCCATACGTAGACGTGCTTTTTGCTCATCGGCCAGACCCCCAAACACCTATTGAGGATATCGTCCGCGCATTCAACTATCTTATCAATACTGGCAAAATATTCTACTTGGGAACATTAGAATGGACCTCGGCAGGAATTGCTGATGCCTGGGCTGTCGCTAAGGAGCTAGGACTCATCGGGCCAGTAGTCGAAGAACAGCAGTATAACCTGCTAGTGCGCAACAGGGTCGAGCATGATTTCCGTTGGTTGTATCCTAAATATGGCACTGGCTTGACCGTTTGGTCTCCTCTCAAGCAGGGTATCTTATCAGGAAAGTACAACGATGTTCAAGAGCCACCGAGAGGCACTCGTCTCGCCGAAGCAAAAGACAAGTTTTCCTGCAGTTTCGTGCAACGTGGAGGAATTAATCTTGGCAGAAAGATCTACAACAGGTTGCATCGTTGCGATCAATTGCTGCGGAAATTGGAGCAACTCAGGGACAGCTTGCTTTGGCGTGGGTGCTGAAGACTGAGAACGTCTCATCAGCTATCACAGGTGCATCAAGGGTAGAGCAGGTCAACGAGAATGTAAAATCGTTGGCTTTCATCAAAAAGCTTACGCCCGAGATTCTCCAGAGAATTGATGAAGCTCTTGGGAATAAGCCACCGACTCAGCCCCTAAGACATGGATAGGTATTTCTTAGACCATATTGAAGGGGAATATCTCTAGATTCCAACTACTATTTGAAGTCTTCATCAAATCTGTAAATTTCTCCATCGCGATCTCTAAAATATTCCAGATATCTCTAGTCGTGTACTTCAACTGTAGCTCGCCTTGGCTACGTGGCTTTCCTGTCTTGCCCTCTAGTAGCTCTCGGAAGAAGTTCTTGTGTGAGGCCGCCATAGCATGCTATTGTTGGCTTAGACTCAGCCAGCTTGGTAGTGGAGAAATTATTGAAAGGCTCAGTTTTCGGGGAAAACTAGAGTTCCATTAAAAATGGTATTGTATCAATATATATGCCAAACATACTAGAAGGAATGCGTCAATTTTTTAATCGGCAAATCAACTCGATAATGAAAATCTGTAAAACATTTGTCTCAAACGACGGTCATTCTAAGTACATGTCTCCAGCTACAAACCAAAAGCAGACGATCAAACAATAAGAAAAATAAATTCGCACGTCGAGGAAACGCTCTGTATCTGTTTCCTTAATTTCATCCCCGCTGCCAACTGTTATGCCACCTCTTCAGAGCTGGGTGGGATCAACATCGAAATAATACATGCCATCCCCCAATCCCATTGTTCCACCCTGAGAGTTGCCCGCTGCTCCAGTGCATTTATCTGACAAAGCAGTCATTGCGTCTTTGCAAAGATCGAGACTCATAGAGAAAGTAGGGGTTTGGCCCTGCATGCTATAAAGTGAAATGGTTAGTGATAGTCCTCCAATGTTCTGACGACACGGGTAATGGAAGCTTACAATTTGAAAAGGATATCTCCGACATTTCCCTTATCATCTGTTACACTTTGATAGAACTTGTAGATTGCCCACCCCTGTTGCAACTGCGGGCCACCCGGCAATGCACCCAAGACTGATTCACAGGCAGTTTCAATTGCAGGGGTAATGACAGTCTCGGCCACCTTGTAGCCGGAGCCAAAACATGAAATTTGAGCCTTGATGTTATCAACTATTGTGGTGATGTCGTTTCGGTCAGAAAGCTTTTTTGTATCGCGGCGAGGCTTGGAGGCGTGGATGTGTGGCAGAGCACCGTGGATTTCGTCCACTGTGATAAAGACTACCTCGCCTCCATTTGCTGTCTTCCAATCAAGAAGATTCTGAGAATGAAGATACTTCAAAGTGGCGCGCTGGACTTCAATATCAAGAGTCGTAATATCAACCGTTGTAGTGTTTGTAAATGGTGCGCCTCTGACCCCTGAGAGGGTAATGGTGATTGCGGCAGCCAAGCTAGCTGTTTAGATATGTCAGTCACTTGAAACTCCCAACTCTTGGAAGAGATACACTCACAGAAACGCATTTTCAAGATCGTTTAGGGGTCTTTTAGTTTTGCAAAGAGTATTTAGTTAAAAGCCAGTTGTCTAAGGACGTTATTTTGCGAATTGTGTTTGAAATCTGATTTGATGAATGATGATAATTTTCCTCCTGGGTGTCAGGCGAAACTATCACCTTATTTATACACATTTACGACTACTTTCATTTCTCGAGAGTCTTTGCTCTTACTCTTGTTTGTATAGGTCCAGAGTTTCCATCTAGGCGATCATACTCCCACTCAACGTCATTCATAGCACAGCCTCTCACTCATCACATCGGAATTGAGAATATATCTCCTCTTGAGTCGCATTGTGGAAGCATGCATCGTGTGGAGTGATGGACATTTTGATGTCATCCGTAAATCCTCCAGCTTCTCGAAGTCAGTTCACGCATGGCATCGCAGACGGGTTGAGTATGAAAATCTTCAAACGCCGATCTTGATAGCTTCAATCTCCTATTTATATCCATCGGATAAAATATTTCTGAAAAAACCCTGGCTAACTGTGACGCCCTGGGGCACAGGTAGATCGTTTGCCAAGCCTGGTGTCTGCGCCGCAAAGCTTGGTAAGATATCCCATTCTGTGCCGTCTGTTCTGTGATGGTTGTTTGAACTGTGCCGTAATGTTATGAGAGGAGCTTGGCTCTGTGCCGCGGTAGAGTTCATCTCCAAGTGGCGAAACCGCCTTAGCTCATGTATATGCCTGTATTTTGCTCGACTGAGCGGTGATCCTTTGTGTTGACTTGTTTGAAACTCGCTGGCCCGTTCAAGGAAAAAGGGGGCTTAGACTTTGTGAGAGATGATATGGCTGATTTCTTTTTGCTTTATTCTGCTCACTCACACAAATGAAGGCATGATGGTAAACATGATAAACACTAAGGATCGCCGTGTTGATAGCAATTCTGGCCCCGACTTTCTATTTAGAGATATCACGATAATTATATCCATCGCCATATACATGAGAATCGCAGAATCCTATTGTCTTCGCACTGCCACAATGACATACTTCAACAATTCTGCGTTTGGGATAGACCATCAAAATAAGCGATCAACTCCGTTTCAAATCCATCTCTAGCCATGCTCATGTAAGAGGATGACCTCAATATATGTCGAAGCATTACTAAATATAGAATCTAGTGAGAGTTGCGCGAAGAAGAGTCAAATACCCAAGGTGCGTCATGAAAAGGTCGTTAATACCACTAGAGTTGTAAAGATAGATCGGGGGTACGAGCGGTGGAAGAAAAACTTACTTAAGTCTCAGCATCCACCTAGTAATTAACTTTTCAGAAATCAATCAACTCAGATACCTTCATCAATTCCATACCATATCACACTTCCACACCCATTATCTTTCAATACCATTTCCCCATCATCATGCTATTCAGAAAGCTCATCAATGTCGTGTTGTTGGCTTTGGCCACGGATGTTTCCGGTCGGTTCGTCTCTGTAAAACGAGCTAGCGCCCCCATTGGTTGGCGTCACATGGGCCAAGTACGTTCCTATAACCTGAGAACATAGACTGGCCGTATTGATGTTTTCAAATTTAGGCTGAGGCTGCTGCAGTCAACCAAGCAAAGGCTCTAGTATGGGACTCTAACATGGGCAACCAAGGGGGTCAACTCGGTGTGGGCATCTACTGCACGACCTTTAGTATGGGATATTTGTACGAGAATTGGTATGTGACTGAACCAATTGTACTGAAATGCTTTCTGACATGATTTTAGGCACGCCTCGCTGACGGCCACGTCATCATCCAAGTGGGCGAATGTCAAAAAGGCTTGGATACCGCAACAGGCAACTGTCAATGGGCAGAATCTCAACCTCTTCAGTAATGAGCAGAATATTGTCGCTTATCTCACGAGCCTTGGCCTTGATCCCGCGAGAACTGTCCGCATGGCAAAACAGGATGATTACATTCAATACTTGCTTCCCCCCGCCCTTGTCACTGGCAATCCATTATCTATCAAAGCCGTTGCCGTCCAGGGCCTGGAGACAATCGGCTTCAACTATGTCGATTACACCAGTTGGGCAAATATTGTAAACCCAGAAGCTGAGCCATACGCTGTCTCTTACTGAATTAGAATGGTTGTGGAAAGTGTGGTCAGGGGCAGTCATAGTTAGGTGCGCAGGTTTTGGTCGAAGTTAGTGATATAGTTTGCGTCATGTTTGTCGTCCTCGGTCTCTGAATTTGATGGAAAAACTTCAGTAGCAGACAATGTTGTATTGGTTGTCAATTTTCTCTTGGATTTTTGATCATGTACTCTCTTTACTGTACGGAACACGAAATATCCTTAGTACCAACCGACATGTTTTCCAACGTGCATTAAGGAGTCTGAATGAAATCCGTGAAAGCAACTCACCAGGGAGTTGGACCGTGATCCTCAGTGTGGAATATACCCAATGGCCAATCAAATCGAAAGCCACATATCAGTGGTCCTTGGTATTTCCAGCACCGCCATGTGTGTCATTTGTCTACGCCCATGGGTCTATCTTCACCATTGAGTATGTACTCTTGAGTAATATTCTTCCCGCTTTGAGTAGCATCTTTCTCCTTATTGATTGGACGCAATGACAACGTTTGAGATTGTTTTGTTTGATTTATGCGGTCCAAATTTAGACCTGGCTTTGAAAGCAATTACAGCTCATCAGAACCATGAGTACTACCATGATCATTTTAGCTTTCTTTTACCGGACGCGTGAGATGTCAGAATTTTCGAGGTAGCGATATACTGACCGGGGAGAAGGGGGAGATGAACTAGGCACGATTCTCGAAAAAAAAAAAAAAAAATTGCAGATACCCTAGTCTATTATATTTTTTTCATGTCCTCGTGACGGGATTAATTCATAAACAAGTATCAGCAGATCATATGCAAGTCTTTAGTTCAAAAAGCGATCGGCACTGATGGAAGAGTGTGTGCTAAATATTGTTGGAAGGTACCCGCAACGTTCAATGCTGTGCCTCAAATACCTCAAGCCTTCTCCCACTGTTGCCAGGGTCATTACACCCACAGCAATTGCTTCGCCACAAAACAGGAACAGCTGAAGCAAAAATGACCAAAATCATCCCTGATCTCAAGAATCCATGGTAGGCGTGCATAATGAGGTACCTATATGAGATATGACATCAATACGTCGGTACAGATTGGTCATCCTTAAAAGGTTCGTTGCAGCCAGCCGGCTGTAACAGGAGCTATTCTCTGATCCATCTCCATTATATTCAAAAAAGATTAAGCAACATGGACATTTTAGCCCCTCTGCTTTGTGATGTTGAATGGTCTGCTGATCCAGACCATGCGAAGAAACTCACGTTCTTTGCTGATGGAACAGGAGAGGCAAGTATTTGCAGACTAATTAAGACTTGTTTCTCATGGCGACTTTCATAAATACTCCCCTGCATTCTTTTATCACTCACATTATTAACGAGGCGCTGACAAGAGTCTAGATGATATGCCGCGCTGGATACACTCTGTACATTGCTATCGAGTTTGACTGGAAGCTCGAAGATGAGCCGATGGCAACCGAAGACCCTGTGCAGAGTCAATTTGATATCGAAATGACCTTGACGAAGCGTCGCGTGCCAAAGGTCGGCCAGGTTGACACTGCCAGACTCAACATAAACGAATACATGCTGAAAGACGAGGCTTTTTCCACGGCAAAATTCACCATTTCATTTGAAAACGGCAGGTTTCCAGTAACCTTTGGACCGCGGGGCACTGTCAGCCTGGTAACCGCATGGTTTTCCAGGCGCCTAAGTATGAGCGCGTCTCCCTATCCATCGTTGGACAACTGGTTGATTCATGAGGCCGTCCAAGACAATAAATTCTGGGAGGTGGATGACTTCTATGCAGAAGAACTTCCAGTAGACAGATCAAATGATGGCTGAAAGGGGGAGGGTCGCAATTCTCGCCGCGTTTTACGGCAGCGCAGAAAACAAAGAAAAAGAGAGCAACAAAACTATCGTGAGGACTCCCTAGAAATTGCTACGAAGTCAGTATCGGGAACTCTGAGACGGTTGATGTAGAATTAGCACATGCAACCTGTCAGTGTCAATGACGGGGATACCATCTCGTTACCTTAAAAGAGTTGTTTGTTACATAGATGTTGACACAGAAACAAGAAGCCGCTGCTACAAAGTCTTATTGTACGGTTTACTCTACCCACCTCAGTGAGTGTTCTTTATCGTTCCGGTTGAGCATCCCTTAAAGATGCACTAATAGAAGTAAAAGCTTCCGTGTTTGGTTGCCGCTACCACACTTTGAATGGTCTCATGGGACGCCTGCGACAGTGATGGAACTCACCCAGAGGCCTAGATTGCTTACAATGTCGAATCTCTTCTCTCCATAGACACCGTAGCATGACATGGTCGGAATTTCTAAGATTGTCAACCCCATTAGTCTACCCATTGTCGGAGAACTTCATTCTCAATTTGGAAATAACTGAGTTTACAGTAGAGGAGCTCTCCAAGCTATGCTAGGGGTTTGGTGAGACATTTGATAGTGACGAAGTGTCTTAGTTTGACGAGACACCTGGATCCAATTGATTGTGTTTGGAGATGGATAAGCAGGATCGTGCATCAAGCTATTGAGATTATGCGGAGATGAATGATCATCTTCCTGCAACAAGTGTATTTTATTGTGGTGACTGTGTTACTTGGAAAATAAATCACACTGCCGGGGCCAACACATGTTCGAGCCCGCCCATAAGAAGACCGAGCTTTGATCGAGCTAGATCCTTGTTTACTGACTCAATTCTGCGCTGCACTTCCTTCCTACTTACTGACACCTTCTGAGCAATTTCAGACCATGAAAGATTTCCGTCATCTGCTAAACCACGGAGGAACTCGACAGCTCCAACTCCATTGGATGAACTGGGGCACTTGATATCCTGGAGTTGACCGCCTAGCTTGCGGATATCACCTCCGATGATTACAGTGTCGATTTCTCTTACACCAGCATGTCTGACAATGGCAGTAAGAGGATCATAATCTGCTGCGCAAGCCATAGACGGAGTGGTTGAATCAAAAATAACCAGGTCTGCGAGCTTGCCTACAGCAATAGACCCAATTTCGTCATCCATTCGTACAGCACGAGCAGCCTGGATTGTGGCCAAGTTGAAGGCCTTTTGTACAGTGGCGCGAAATTGTTGCGGGTAGAGATTGCTCCTAAAGGCGCTAGATGTTTGGGCTCCTCGATCACTAGATAGCGCCATTTGCATTTGATGGAGCATACTGGTTGGCCCAGAGGAATGGCAATCAGCACCCAAGCAGGTCAGCGGTAGATCAGATCGGAAAGCCACAGGATCAGCTCCTGATGCCATGAGAAGTTCTGCATCAGGAGTGGAGGTGATGTAGACACCGGCATCGCTTAGGATAGTGGCTTGGCTTGCTGTCGTACCATTGCCATGTGCAAGGAGTATGTCCTCTCTAAGCATCTCACAGGAAGCAAGTATCTCGGGTATATGTGCTTGGCCTTTCACATCTTATAGTCAGCATCGCTAGATAGAATGAATGATGATCATTTGAGAGGAGTCAGTGCCGTTTTGGCAGATTGGCGAGACAACATACCTGTGGAAATAGGCCAATGCCTGAAGTGGCTGGTAATGACCTTGACACCAAACTCCCTCACAGAGCTCAGTGTTTTGATGATCATGTCTTGAGGTAAAGAGTATGAATCGAAAAAGAATCCTAGTTGCACTCTACCTCCGATCCCGAAAGGGGCACGACTCGCAAAAGCCTTCATTTGTGGAAGCAGCCAGCTTGGTAGAGGCGAACGATCAATCTCGAAGGAGTTCTCCGTCCACTCTATGGCACGAAGCGGCGAAACGCCATAGCAAAATATCGCACGAAGACCCGAAGCAGCTGTGGCCTCTAAAGCGGCTGAACCGTGCTCGGGTCCAGAGCTCATATGCGCATTGTCAACTACGCAGGTTGTACCAGAGTCAAGGACTTCGAGACAACCACCTAATTGACCCCAAAATATATCATCGGGTGTGAAATTGAGACTTTGAAGGTTGGCTACTAAAGTAAGTCTGTCTTTCATTCACTATGTCCTTCCATACGTACCGTCAACCATGTAATCCAACAAAGTGTGATCTCCAAATCTCCCTTTCAATTGAGTCTGCCATAGATGATGATGAGCGTCAATGAAACCGGGAGAAATGATCTTGTCGTGGCAGTCTATGGCTTCCATCGACTCGGTAACAGGTATTTGATTTCCGATTTCAGCAATACGGGATCCATGAATCAGGATATCGGTGTTTCTCAGGACAACAATATTGTCCTGAGCGTCGTGTTGAAGGACGGTGCCGTTTTTCAAAAGGAGTTGGGCCGTCATGATTCACGGGTGTCTCAACTCAGGGGGTTGTCCTAGGTGACCAAATCTCTGCAGATACTCATTTAGCATGATCATTTATATAAATGTGAACCGCTGCCTGAAGCTCGGGGTTAAAGGCCGGGCAGTGTGGATGATGGTATGTCCGGACATTATAGTTCGGCTCTTTTACGACAGGACCGAACTATTTCTACAGAAGCCTGAGCTTTGCACAATGCAGCCCACTAAAGCCGCAAACAAAACCGATCATTTTGCGATGGACCATGAACACCCGGAGTTTGCGTAGAGACCAATATTTTCTAGCACATTTCCATACACGTGTCCGAGGCAGTGAAGTGAACACTAGGGTATGAGCCAATAGAAGGTCGAGGCGAGAAACAATCAATAGAGTTCAGCTACGCTGGCCGTAATGGAAAATGCATTTGAATGTAATCAGTAGATTTTCCTTGACTAGTTCTTCACGGGATCAATATGAGTTATTTCAATTACAAATCATTCCTGAGAAACAGTCTGCGAGGCAAGGTCCACGCGAGTCTTTTTGAAGTCTCGGGCCTTGACCTTATTCTTGAATAGAATGTCAATCTCGGCAAAGGTACGATCCTTTGTCTCTGGAAGGCGGAAGAAAACCCACACCATCCAGAACGCCATAAGACCACCATAGAAGAAACCGGATTTGGCGCCCCAATTCCATGCAGCCCTCTGGACCATACGCGGTACCAATTGACCGGCAACCAACACAAAGACATTGTAGGTGGCCCTCGCAATCACCACACTCTTTGTGCGGAGTGCACTAGAGGGGATCTCCGTCACAATGGTGTAGATGATGGGGCCGAGGGTGATGAAGAAGATGAAGTACTCAATCAAGAGGATGCTTCCAATAGCGTATGCAAAATTGGTATGTGTGGTGGTATTTGGGATGCCCAAGAAACCAATCAAGATGGTGGTGGATGCCATGAAACAGTTGCCCCAAAGGATAAGCGTTCGTCGACCTACGCGTGGAGTAAGATACCAGGCGATGAAGACGCCGACAATAGCCAATGCGTATTGACCCATTCCGAAATTAAACGAGGCCGTGGTGGGAACGCCGGCTTGCTGCAAGAAGTACACGACATACGACACCAATGGTGCGCATATCTCTTGGAGAACATAGAGCAAAACAGTTACCTCGGTTCGTCGGAGGTTTATACCCTGGAAGAGCTCCCAGTACGAGCTATTCTTTGAGTTGATATCCTTCTCGATGTTGATAGTATATTCAATCATGGAGAGCGTGTTAGTAATCTCATCTGCTGTGGCATCCTTAGACCGAAGCCTTCGCAGAGCCTTGACCGCTTGATCGGTACGACCCTTTCGGGCAAGCCACCATGGCGATTCGGGAGCCAAGAAGATGCCAATCGCGAGAGGGATCGGGAGTGCCCACTGAATAGCGAAGGGAATGCGGAATGCCCATTCACCCTTCATAGAAAGGAAGCCTCGTAGTGTGGCAGTGCCGATAAGATAGCCGACGGACCAGCAGAGAGAAACCAGTGATGTAAGGTATGGTCGGAGGACGTTGGGCGTAACCTCGGCGGCGTATGTAGTGGTCAATGTCTGAAACACACCCCAGGGCACCCCGAGAAGGATGCCGGCCCCGAGGTACATGTATATGCTGGTGGCAAAGAACTGAATGAAGATAAAGCATACCATCAGGAACAGGCAGCCCAACATGACCCATCGGTACCCGAACTTATCAGCAAGGATACCGTTAATGAGGAGCCCGATGATCTGACCGGCGGAAACGCCATTGCCAATACCCGCCTGGATGCTTGCCGGGATCTGATAGTCGCCTGTCGGCTGTAGTTCGCCGTACCGCTTTTGGAATTCTGGGAAGGCGAAGAAGGCAGTCACAAATGCCTTATCGAAACCCTCCATGATGAGGGCGGCAGAAAAGAGGAAAGACCAGAAACAAGCCTTGGGGTATTTGCGGATACCTTCCACCAGGCCCATCTTATGCTCGGCATCTGTAGCCTGCTGGGCGCCTTTGAGTACGGCGCCAGCATCGAGGACGACATTTTTCTCGTCATCCTTTTCCTGCACCACAGTGGCAGTTTTGGGGTCTTCCACGTCTTCCTGATGCACAGCCATGGTGTCGTTTGTCTGGATATTGCAGCGATAGTAGTATTTCCGTGGCTTACTGAGGAAATAAGGGCTGTTTCCTCGCCTGCCGCCGTATCGTACGCTGTGGGAATAGACAAGCCAGACTGGGAGCCGGAAGGAGAGAGGTGCGGATTGAAGCGACCATCATATGTATTGGAGGGGTTCTGCCACCCCTACTACTGGTTCTGAGCTACAAAACGGTACGATATGGCAATCACAGAGGCCATTCGGCCGGTCGGCTTATATTATACCGGCAATAGCTCTTCAACTTGCAGGTATTTAGGCTTTCACCGGTTCAAGAACAGACCGAGAGCTCCACATGGTTTCCTGAACTTCTGAGGATTGGAAGGATGGATGCGTCCAAGATCCAATCAGCTGACGCGGCCGCAGATGATAAGGGTGGGCTTGGGATGATCACATGAAATGGGGAAGGGAGCAATGGAGATGAATTGGGGGGAGATCCACTGAGGAATCTGGGGAGTGACTGGGGCGCGACCGTAACGATATTAGGCCACCAATCTGATATGACCCCTTTACCCGGTTCGACGCAAACAGATGGAGAAGAGGATTACGCCGTACAGCACATGAGAAGGGAACCTGGGGTAGAATTGGCGCCGGTTCCTCTAGGCGCACCTTGGCGCAAGAGCAAATATTACCCCAACACTGCCAAGTGCCATTCTCCGCATGGACGCTGTAATTCTACCCCGGAGGCCGAAACACTGAGTCGATCTCAACCGCGTCTGGTATGGCCAACCATGAAGCACAGCTACCACCCAGCCGCCTCTCGCGCTTCAACATGCATTCCATCAGGTTAAATTTGTAGACTTGTCCATGCCCAGCAACTGTAGCATTGACGATCCTGCGTGTCAGTCAATGTTTCTAGCAAGCCTGTCGGCAAATCAGCTAATTGCTAGGCATTATTTGGTTGCTCATCGGCTCCTTCCGGCTGGGGTCTCTGATTGTGGGTCATTCTTGGCTCCTACTCATTTTCAGCTGGGGAAACTTGGCAGATTTTGTAAATCACGCACAAAATGTCGGGCCAGAATCTACGTTGGCTTTCGGCCGCGTCGGGGAGTGAATCCCTGTCCAATGGTGTGTCCTTTGGCATGCCATGGCCAAAGGGTCTCTATCAGCCTGGACAGGGTTTTATTATCGAGGGAGAAGGAGGTGCATACCCAATAGATTCCCGGCCACTCGCGTTTTGGCCTGATGGCTCTCTTAAATGGACCGCACACTCTGTTAGTGGTAACCTTGGCTATAGCGAGACCTATACCGTAAAGGGTGCCGATACTTCAGTGTTGCAGGATGGATTCGTAATTGACCAAAGTTCGCCAAGCATTTCTATCTCAACAAGGTCGGGGCTGCAGCTGAAGCTCGCTCCGCCAGGCAGCTCCTCATTGTTTGAAAGCCTCGCCATTGATGACCATCTGGTCAATACAGGTGCCACAATCGTTGCATCCATCAATAAGAAAGAGTACACCACCCTTCTTAAGAAAACAGAGTTCGAAAACCAGACCAGCAGCAGGATCGTTGTGAAGCTTTCCGGCGTTGTCGTTTCCGACGGTCGTGAACATCTCCCGTTTGACGCTAGGCTCTATGTATACTCTGACAGCTCGTCGCTACGAATTGTTCATTCATTTATCCACGATTTAGAGGGCGACGAGCCATTGACATCTTTAGGACTCAGGTTCTTCGTTCCCTTCCGAGATACCGAGCCATACAATCGACACCTCCGTCTGGGAGGTTCTAGAGGAGGTATCCTGAAGGAGGAAGTTCAAGGCCTTACGGGTCTGAGAAGCGGCCCAACTATTCAGAACAGACTAGAGCAGACTACTGGCAAGGTTGTCACGCTTCGTGAAGAGGAATGGGTACAGTCAGATTTCAGAAGAGGTTTGGCCTGTATACCTACCTTCGATGCCTACACCCTCTCTCAGTTGTCATCTGACGGGTTTACTATAAAGAAACGCACCAAGAACAGCCACTCCTGGGTCAAAGTAACTGGAGGTGGTCGTGCGGATGGAACTGCCTACGTCGGGTCAGCGAGGCATGGGGGCTTAGTTGTCGGCATGGCTGACTTCTGGGAACGCTATCCGACCCAGATTGACCTGAATGGTTTGACTGGAGATGAGGCAACTATCACAATATGGTTGTATTCTCCCCTGGCTGAGCCTCTCGATACTTCTCCCTTTCATGACGGCTTGGGATTAGACACGTATAAAAAGCAATTTGAAGCCGTCTGGGTTACGTATGAGGACTACGAGCCTGGCTTTGCTACTGCAAATGGGATAGCAAGATCGAACCAGCTCTTCCTCCAGCCGTATACAGCCACACCATCCAATCAACAACTAGCCGCCTTTTCCGCCCTCGTCAGGGAGCTCCCAAGACTAGTGCCCACATTGGATTATATGCACTCGACTGGTGTGTTCCACGGTTGCTGGTCGCCGGATTTCCGTACTTTAGGCTATACTCCTCCACAGAAGGAGCGAGACATCGAGAAGAATCTTGATCTCTTGTTCAACTACTACCGTGGACAAGTCGAGCAACACAGATGGTACGGGTTTTGGGACTACGGAGATGTGCAGCACACTTACGACCCCTATCGACACTCCTGGAGATACGATGTCGGCGGTTTTGCTTGGGATAACTCGGAGCTGTCCACCGACCTGTGGCTGTGGCTCTACTTTTTACACACTGGCCGATCTGACGCCTTCAAGATGGCCGAGGCTATGACGAGGCACACGGGTGAAGTTGACGTCTATCATTCAGGAAGGTTCAAGGGTTTTGGAACACGTCACGGTGTCCAACATTGGAGCGACAGTTCGAAACAGCTTCGAATCTCCAATGTACTATATAGGCGGATCTATTATTACCTCACAGGTGATGAACGCACCGGTGATTTGATGGAAGAGCTCCAAGAAAGCCAATACGCTCTTCTAGGGCTCGACTCGCATCGCAAAGTGCTACAGCATGGAGAGCTCCCTGAGGGCTTTGCCCTGACGAATATCGGTCTCGACTGTGGTGCTTTACTTGCCAGCTGGCTGACAGCATGGGAACGCCGAGCGCCCGACTGGGAGCGAGCGCGAGAATCCATAGTGAAGCTGCTGAGTGGACTCTCCGTTCTACCTCACGGCATTGCTTCTAACGAGATCTTATTAAATCCATCAACATGCGAAGTCCGCGAATGTCCACCTCCCATGCCCCCGTACCTCATTTCTCACTTGTCAATACTGTTTGGCCTGCCTGAAACACTTACAGAGGTGCTCGACGCCATCAAGAGCGATTTCCCCTCGGTGGCCAAAGACTTTCTCCAGACTTGGCTGTCCTACTGCAAGTCATACAACGGTTCAACAGAAGTTCAGCGCAAGGAATATGGCTTTGACTTCGGAGCTGTATCCTGGCGCCAGAGTCACTCAACGTTGACGGCTATTGCAGCAGTGGCAGAACAGAGCGAAGAGCTGGGCCGCGCGGCATGGGATCAGTTTTTCGGGACTGATGGGTATAGCCAAAGCCATGACTGGGCTGTAATCAAGGCTTCGACGCCAGAGTATTTTCAATGCGGAGAGGAGGCGCCATGGATTACCACCAACGAAGCCGCTCGTTATGGCGTGTCAGCATTGTTTAACCTTGCCAATATTAGACAGCACCTCTAACGAATGACAATATGTCGCTCGAAAAGAACGCAATAGTTAAGAATAGCTCCTCTCCGATCCATAGAGATGTTGTTCCTTGATAAGTTGGTTAAAGATGAGCTTTATATAATAAATATTGCGGAATGAACGAATTCTTTGATGACCATACGTACAGACGGGACACATCTTACGTGGTAGATTGAAAATGGTAATTAGCGCTCTACGCGTTTTTGAAAGAGGATCTGCAGCTTCAAGTGACATTAATTTGCAAGAAATGGGTTAGTCAAGTCAGGTATACACAACTTTTCCAGAAATGGCTAATCCAGCTTGCCTAGTTCAGCCCAGTAGTCCTAGTTCATGCATGCTTTCAACACTGTCTAGTCATGTCAACTCCCCAGCGCCAAGTCCAATCCAAATATACCATACACCCCAGCGTGATCCTCTGACTGTGTTGAGGCTTCAATTTAAATCATGTGGTTCTCTTTGTGCCGACCAGTCGGAATCAAAATCGAAAAAGTCCTCTTCCATCATGTCCATGACAGATCTGTTACCAGAGAACCAGTCACCCAAACGGAAAGATTGATTTCCAGTAGGGACGCAGACCGACCCAAATTCTCCACCAGGAGCAATGCTCTCACTTGTATACTTTGGAGATATGAAACCCAATTGAGACAAATACATGTCAAAGTCGTCTCCAACTATGTTCATGTCTTGATCTTGTTGCTGCTGACTCTTCGCCTTGACATATAATGCGGCTATTTGGTGGAGTGCTTTGCAAAGGCGGTGTAGCTTCTCAAGACCCAGGGATATGGATGTGACAGGTCGCAGCCCTGCTGTGAACTGTTCGAGCCGCTGGAGGTCGTCAATATTTGACGTTTCGATGACGTGACAGAATAGAACGATGAAAGGAGTGAAAGGAGCATATAAGATGGTCCTGTACAGGTAAGCTGAATAGATTCATACCAAATCGCGGCGAAAGCACCACGTACCAATGCAAGTACCCAGCTTTTGCAGTAAGGCTTCCCGAGTTTAGTTCCATGCATTCTTCGTGACACTGGAACGCCATCCTAGCCGCTTCAATACATTCAGAGTTGAAAGTGCTCGGAAAGCCTGGTGAGCTCGGAATCGCGCGATAGATTAGAGTCAGAGAGGCCAAATGACCAACCTTGCCTGATTTAATTATCATGTCAAGCGTCATTGTACGGATCTCTTTGTCTTTAGCACCTTGTACCGATGCTCCGACCATCATGGTGCTTTGATGCTTCAATGCTCCCGATAGCTCTTCCATTTCGTTCCAGATCTGTTTCATCTTTCCTACGAGTATTTGTGCCGTCTCGATTCGATGCTCCGGCGACTGGGCCAGCGCGTTGGAGCTATATAGATGTTCATATGTTTCGCCTAGTATACTACCAGTTCTGATCCATACATTAATCACATTTTTCCATGGCTCTGCTAGTTGCATGTTGCCAAAGTTGCGAGGCATTGAAATGTCCCAATCGTGCATGATAGATGTGCGACCAAATCGTAGAGCAAGGCCTTTATCAAGCATATAACAGAACCAAAAGATTGCGGATTTAGCGTCATCTGCCTCTCCTATAGTCTGTAATCGATGCCATCCAAGGGTTTGGCACATGGCAGCTGCGGCACTGTTGAGTTGCCAAGCAAGACTCATCTTTGAAGTCTCTATGGAGTATGTGACCTATAAGGGTTAGCAGGCATTTGTGTACCTACTCGAAGACTAGATTGACTCACACCGAGAAGCAGTGCCTCGATCATTTCTCTGGTAGGTGGAAGAAGCAGTGGTAAGTTGGTCAGTGCAGTTTCCAGGTTGTCCCTGCACAAGTGGTGATACTTGAGAAACTCTTCGCTCCTAGACTCATTCGTCATCGCCTTCTCTTGAAAGAGATAGTACAGCCCCGCATTCACGATGATGAAAATTGGAATGCCATAGTCTTCTGTGGCAAAGTAGACCTTTTGGCACGCGTCTATAAACTCCTCAACGGTTATGAAGGTACAGCTCATCATAAAAGTAATCGGCGGTGCGGCTGTTCTGTGTTAGCCTTTCGAGACAATATTGTACAATACCAATACCCTACCCTTAATCTCGCGTATGAGCTTCAGAACGGCATCTATCGGAGGCAACGGTAGCTGGCTGAATCCCCCTCTTGGCATTGGTCGCTGATGAATGAACCGGCTCTCGGGTGAAACACCCTTTCTCCCATGGGTATACACCATTTGTTGAAGTGACACCAACGCACTCTGTATGTCCGGACTAAGTTGCCGACTTAGTGAGGTATTCGTCACTGCCTGTTCTAGAAACTCGCGAGCAAATGCAGCATGCGCGTTCATCGATGAATTGCCTTCGTAAATTTGATCCACGTCTTCTTTGTGAGATAGTTCTTCGTACGTGGTACTGGATTCGGCAACGCTTGGGGACGTGTCAATGTTCGTAGGATCTGAGCCTAAGCGAGGAGCTTCTCCACGACTGAAAGACGTCGTCAAGTTGCGGAGCATTCCCTCGATCCCCATAAGGCGAGATTCGAAATGGTCTATCTTACGTTCACTATGTATTGTTAAGCTATCAATGTGACGGGAAATAAAGTAAAGGGACTTACTATTGGTGAGAAATCAATACTCTTTGTCGCACCTCCCTGGCTTTGGGAACTTGGCCTGTCCAGCTACATTCTCTCTGTCCTGTTTTACAATTAGAGCATGGGGTTTCTTTATCACATCGTATCTTGACTCTGAGTTACTATGAAAATTTGCGTAGAGGTCTGAGGAGATACAATTACCTTTCGAGAGCGACATTGATCACACTTGTATGTTCACCCAAAATCGATCGTCAGTATATTAAAGGTCAAAGAATAACATAAAGAAAGGAGCGTTACGCAACACTTTAGAGAGGCTAAATGGGCAATAGAATGGAGACAAGGAAATGAAAACATACAGCACGTCGAATAAGCCCAGACTTATCCGGAGGGTCGGACATTTCGACTAAGATCTGCTCGATCTTGGCAGGCAAGCGAAAGACTACAAGCCAGACACCAACCAGAATGATTGCAGCCTCGTTTCATGCTTCGGAGGCTTCGGTAAGAGATCGGTCCTTTGGCTGCCCGAAGAACTTGCAGATATAAATGGCGTTGGGCGTGTTATTATTACCGAAAGATTTGAATTGCAGCGAATCTTGCACCTGATCAACATTGAGCTAGAGTGTAACTTAGTGCACGGGCCAAAACGTGACCTATGCGTTTGCCGCGGAGCGCCGAATCCGAACATTTCCCAAAGGGTTTGTTCGTGGACGGTCCGTGTCTGACTCGCGGTGCCCACGTCCCGCATGTTATATCCTGCAAATACGGTCATCACGCACCTCGCGACGGCTCATGCTGAGGGGCTATCACTTGGCTCAGGCATAATTCTCCAGTTTCATTCTTCACTTTGCGTAAATTTCGTATTTTGGAATTCTCTCTACAAGGCTTGTTTCAAAGCCTTCCCGTAAATTCATCGTCCTCTTGCATCGCTTTGTGATTGTCTACTTTTGGCCTTGATGATTCGTCCGAGTAAACAAAGAGGCTGACATAATCAATGAAGTCTTTCCCGCGGAGCTCCGATGCTCCGAGGGCTTTCTTCTGATTGGCTAGAATGATTACGGGCAGCAAACGAGTAAGTTTGAAGTATGGCTGACTCGGTTCGTCTCCTTGTAACTGACAATCAGGGCAGAAGTTCTGATGATTCAGTGTAAGATACTGTAGCTCATATCTGCCTAGGTCTTAGTCGAAAACAATTAATTTGTGATCTGGTGCGAAATGTGATTGGTTATAGGGTGATTGCCCCTTCTCCATCCCGGGCCGGCGGGTTGTCCGTCGCCTCTACTCGCAGCTCCCCGGCCGCGCTGGCCCCTATTGTATCGACCATTCATTTTCGATTATACAAAATAAAACACTTCAGATTCCATGACTTCCTGGCTGTTACTTGCACTCACTGTGGTGCTTTATTTCTCACTATTCTAAGTACGGTCTTGACCGAATAAAGATCGACGACGATGGAGAACCACTCAGAAAAGTCTGAGCAAGCTCTAAGGGCTACTTTAGGTTCTGACACGGCTCCCATCGTCTCTTCTAAGAATCTTCGGAAGGCAGACGAAACTTCCAGGAATGGTTACGTTGTGAGTGCGCTCTGGTCTCTCCTCACCTCGACTTTAGTTGATCTTTGTAGCGTGTCTTCAAATACAATGACACAATCGGATGGGTCACAACTGCCATAGCAGTTGTCTGTATGATTGTTGCTGGAGTTCTACTACCCCTCATGAACTTCATCTTCGGCAAATTCGTTACCATCTTCAACGACTTCATCACGGGTCGGAAGACTCCCTCAGAGTTTCGATCATCCATCAACCAATACACGTACAGAATCATATGACAGAGCCACTAGCTGGATGGAACTGATACAGATATTTAGACTCTACTTCGTCTATCTTTTCGTCGCAAAGTTTGTTCTCGCTTACGTATGGACGGTAAGCACGTACTGATGAAACATTGAGACCTTCTGCTAATAGCTTGTGTCGCTTTAGACCATCATTTCGATTAATGCGATCCGTATAACGCGTGCACTCCGTCTCGACTTCCTCAAGCAGACACTGCGACAGGAGATTGGTTACTTTGATTCATCAGAGCTAGGATCCATCTCTGGAAGTATCAACAACGGCGGCAATCTTGTCAACCAGGGCATATCTGAGAAATTCGGCCTAACGGTGCAGGCTACAACCACCTTCTTTGCTGCGTTTATTGTCGCATTTGCTGTCCAGTGGAAGCTAACACTCATTACTTTGTGTATTGTACCTGCCATTCTGATAGTCATCACTATATGTGTCACCATCGATAGCAGGATCGAGAACAAGCTTATGGCCACATGGAGCTCAGCCGATAAGTTGGCTGAGGAGGTGTTTGCCAGCATTCGTAACGTGCACGCATTCTGGGCGTATCCGAAGCTGTCTCGCAAATACGAAAGCATTGTAGATGACGCAAAAAGGCTTGGAAAAAAGAAGCTTCCGATCTACGCTGTCATGTTCTGCATCCAATTCTTCTGCATTTATGCAGGCTACGGATTGGCGTTTTGGCAAGGGATTCATATGTATTACCGTGGAGAAATCACTGCACCAGGCGATATTGTCACGTACGTTATTTCTATTCTAAATATCACACTCGCGAAGCTAACCCATTATTTTAGGGTCATTCTTGCGGTGCTTCTTGCTGCTCAAGGCCTAACACAGATCGCTCCTCAAATTATGGTGGTAGCGAAAGCTAGAGCGGCAGCGGGTGATCTTTTCAAAACGATAGACCGAGAATCTCAAATCGACTCACTGTCAACACAAGGTCTCAAACCATCTGAATGCCGGGGAGACATCGTCTTTGATAACGTCGATTTTGCCTATCCGTCTCGGCCGAATGTCCAAGTTCTGAAAGGGCTAGGCCTCATCATACCTGCCAACAAAACAACCGCCATCGTCGGAGCAAGTGGCTCGGGGAAAAGCACTATTATCGGTCTATTAGAGAGGTGGTTCTCTCCTCTTAGTGGCAGCATTACCGTTGATGGACAAAGGATTGAAGATCTCAACATTCGATGGTTAAGAACAAACATTCGGCTTGTACAGCAGGTTCGTCATTTCCCACCTCTTGTTGCAGCATAATAAAATCTAACAGCTTCTACAGGAACCAGTTCTTTTTAATGGCACGATCTTCCAGAATGTTGCCTATGGTTTATCTGGCACGCAAGAGGCAGACTTCTCGGACGAGAACAAGTTCAAGCTCGTGAAAGAGGCTTGTGAAGCAGCCTACGCCCATGACTTTATCGAGAATCTTCCCAAGGTGATATACTCTTCACTATCACAGCCAAGGTGCTGAGATATGCTGACATGATCAGGGCTACCACACACAAATTGGCGAGCGTGGGGCTATGCTCTCTGGAGGGCAGAAACAACGCTTAGCCATTGCAAGAAGCGTCATATCGAATCCTCGAATTCTTTTATTAGACGAGGCTACCAGTGCCTTGGACGCGAATGCTGAGCATATTGTTCAAAAAGCATTGAGCAACGTTGCAGTAGGCCGGACCATGGTGGTCATTGCTCATAGGTTGTCAACTATCCGTGATGCTGACAACATCGTTGTGATGTCAAAGGGTACAATAGTTGAGCAAGGTACTCACAAAAAGCTCATTGAGCTTGGCGGAGGCTACTCCCGACTTGTTCTTGCTCAAGATATTGGTAAAGAAAACCGAAGCAATAACCAACAAGAACAATATACTTCTAACGATCACACTGAGAAGGCGAATGTCGACAAAGCCAAATCTAGATCCGGCGGCGAAGATGGCGCTCCAGAGATGGCGAGGCACAAGGTCTCCAATTACAATCTACTCAAGTGTCTATCCATTATAATAAGAGAACAGAAGAGCCTGCGGTTTCCATTTGCAGTCATCGCCGTGGCAGCAACAATAGGGGGTTCGTAGTTATCTTGCAATTCGTCCGTATCTTGACTAACTGTCTCAGGTGGCACTTATCCAGCACTTGCAGTTCTATTTTCGAGAATTCTCGATGCCTTTGCTCTCACAGGGGATGCCATGCTTCACCGTGGGGACTTCTATGCTCTGATGTTCTTTGTCATGGCACTTGGCAACCTAGTCGCCTACCTGATCCTTGGTTGGATGTCGGCCACGATATCCCAAGGCATCATGAACTACTATCGGCTCGATATCTTCAACAATATCCTACGTCAGAAGATGGAGTTTTTTGACGACCCTGACAACACAACTGGTGCGCTCGCCTCCCGACTTTCCACCGAGCCAACGGCACTTCAGGATCTACTATCTTCCAACATCGCACTGATCCTTACAATCATGGTTAATCTCGTGTCAAGCTGTGTATTAGCCATTGCATATGGTTGGAAACTTGGTGTTGTGTTGACCTTTGGTGCTTTGCCTCCTCTTGTCGCATCCGGATACGTCCGCATCCGGCTCGAGTTCAAGCTCGATGATGACACAGCATCACGATTTGCCAATAGTGCGGGGATTGCTTCTGAAGCTGTCCTGGCTATCCGCAGTGTTGCCTCTCTGGCTCTTGAGCACGAGATTCTTGCTAGCTATGAGGACAGTCTCCGATCGATTGCCAAGACCTCTGTCAGGAGCCTTGTAAGTACTATGTTCTGGTACGCGCTTAGCCAATCTATATCGTTCTTGTCCATGGCTCTTGGATTTTGGTACGGAGGCCGCTTGATATCATTTGGGGAGTATACTTCTCAACAGTTTTATACGGTCTTCATTGCCATAATTTTCTCGGGGGAGGCTGCAGCATCGTTGTTTACCTATACATCTAGTATCACTCAGGCTCAAGGAGCGGCAAACTATGTTTTCAATATACGGAAGGAAGTTCCCACTGATATGAAAGATAATTATCCGCCAAAACCTCAAAACCATGCCGTGGAGGCAATTGAGGTGGATTGCATCGACCTCGTCTTCGCTTATCCCCGCCGACCAGCAATTCAGGTTCTCAAGGGAGTGTCTTTCAACATTCAACCCGGCCAATTCGTTGCTTTTGTTGGGGCATCGGGTTGTGGCAAAACCACCATGATTAACCTTCTCGAAAGGTTTTATGAGCCAACAAGTGGCTCCATCCGCCTTGATGGGGTCGATGCAATGTCTATGCACCTCGGCCAATCTCGTCGACACATGGCTCTCGTGCAGCAAGAACCAGTTCTCTACCAGGGCTCCCTTCGCGAGAACATCTCATTAGGAATCGAAGATCTCTCTGATGGAGCTTTAGCAACAGTCACAGATGAGGAGATCTTCGAAGCCTGCCGGCAAGCCAACATCGATACATTCATTACATCACTTCCCGACGGCCTAGCCACTTTGTGTGGCTCCCAGGGGCTTCAGTTCTCCGGTGGGCAGCGGCAGCGCATAGCTATCGCGCGTGCCTTGATTCGGAAACCAAGTCTTCTTCTTCTTGATGAAGCCACATCAAGCCTCGATACAGAATCCGAGAGAGTTGTACAGGCGGCTCTAGATGCAGCAGCAAAGGGTGAAAACGTCCAAGGAAGAAAAAGAACGACAATTGCCGTAGCACATCGATTATCTACCATCAAAGGGGCAGATACCATATTTGTGTTCTCTCAAGGCGGAGTCGTCGAGGTTGGTAGTCACGACGACCTGGTTCAGAAGAGAGGCATGTATTACCAAATGTACCTTGGACAGGCGTTGGACCAGTAAAGGCGTGGATTGCCTGCATATGCAGCATTTCGCATGGAAGTAGCCGTGTGTAATACGTAACAGTCTCTACTTCAATTTCTATTTGTTTTGTTCTAGAAAAGGCAAGCGCAGGTCTCTTATATTTCAATCTTTCTCTAAACAAGGAAAAGAACAGTTCACTTCACCCACCGTTAGTTTGTTTACACAACCACACAATACTCAATGAACTCTCCTAAACAAACAGCTGGACTCAAATGGTGTGCATGATACCGCTATAGATGGGATAGACATTTTCTTCCATACCTTACCTCCAGAATCTTTCAGAGCGTATCTACAAAGTCAATCCGAAGCACTCTACCCTAAAGAGCTTTTTGATTCTAAGAATGAACAATGTACTTTACTCAAATCACCAATTACGCTTTCGGCGTTGCTGTAAGATGTTTATTGCAGTGAGTGCTAATAGACTACCTTACTTAGGTCACGCATTCTTCAATTGAGACAAGTGCTTTTCATCTTGTCCTATCTCAAATCCTTACTGGAGGCTTGACCATTTTCTCCACCATGTTAAACAGCAGTAGGGGAAGGGTTGGCAACCGAGTAGCAGTCGCAGCCTAAAGCACATGTCAGCATCTAGCGGGTTCGTAAGACAACAAAAGGACATACCCATCTGTGCAGCGGGGAAGATCAATTCGACATCGGCGTGCGAGCAAGCGGCAACGACGCAAGGAGTAACCTCAGTACCGAGGGTCTCGAAGTTGGCGCACTGGCAGGGAAGGTCATCAAGGCCACCGCAGCCATAGCTGGGGTAAAGCTCGAGGAAGCAGTCATAGGCGCAGGTTGGGACAGCGGCGATGGCGCGGCTAGCGCAGGCAGTGGCAACAGAGGTAACGGTGGACGTGACACGGGGAGCGCGGACAGTGGTAGCATTGGCGGTGGTGACGCCCAAGCAGCTGCAGGCAGACGAGTACTCCGAGCCATCATCGCAGGAAGAGGCATAGGTGGGGATGGCGCTGGCAGTGACGGTGACCTGGCGAACATCGATGGCTCGGGCAACAATCTCGTCACCAGAGCAGCCGGTGGGCTCCGGGATGAAGGTAGTCACAGTGCGGGTGCTAAGAAAAAGGCAATGTCAGTACAATCGGCCCTGCATATGTCAAGGAATGAAGACATACCGCGGAGTAGGAGTGACTGTCAGACGAATGAAGCTGGAGCAGTCGGCCGAGCGAGAGGCAAGGTCGGGAAGTCCGGCACGAGTTCCAGTAACCTGACGGTTGCAATTGTTGCCGGGGCAGGCACGTTGCTCAATGACAGAGCCCAGAGCCAGGCTGGCGAGCGAGAGGATGATGGAAGCCTTCATTTTCAAAGATAGAATGGATCTGTCGAGTTGACTTGAGAACCTGAATGCTTTGGTGATGAGAGAATAGTCTAGAGAGCTGTCTGTGTGGGATTGAGCCGCAATATATATATTTGGATAAGCCAGTAGCTACTACAGTCAAGTTTATCGCGGATGTCCGGCCAATTGTTGAGGACACCCGGAACAAGACATGGTCACCGATCACCTCCGTACAATCCCGGTCTAGGATTGAGTCCACGTCCTTTTGTGATATCATTCAAGCCACTCGCGCCGCACACTATCACCGACTCAAACGCACTGAAAAGGTGCCAGTGCAGCTCTACACCGACCATTGCCCAATCAGGGAGCTAGTGTGTCGATAAGTAGCAAGCCACTACGGCTGTGACCTTAAGCCCGCGAGATCCCAGGCTGGCCGACCCGACGTCGGAGGTGCCAAGATGGCTGGAGCTGAAGGAAAATACGAAGCAACCAAATTTTCATACCTAGAGCAGCCACATTATGCACGAGTGTTGCTGGGCTGGCCGCTCTGCCACCTGCAAATGAACCCCTGATGCCGGCAGCCAATCGCCGTCGACGAGCCGTGGAGAATCTAATCAGATCATCTAATCTAATCAATCAACAGCGCGGCATGAGCTCGGTTGCCTTCCGACCTATCGGTTACTAGTTATCAAGGTTGCTTTTAAGCTTACTATAACTGCACCTAAGTCGGGACCACGCGAGGCTAACGGTGAACTATTTGCGGGGTTTTCTGTTCCCTCCCCTCGCTCTCGGCCTTCTTCCAGCCTGTTTGCATCATGCATGCCGCGAGATCCGAACGTGGCAGCTCAGGATATTATAGTCCCTCAACAATGCCCCCATCAAAGTGGCTCGATCCATGGTATTCTGACCAACTGATGCGCGCCCGGGTCTTGACTATTGGACTTCAGGCTCTTGGCAGGTTTGTGCGTTACATGAATGGCTCCATGGAGCGAGCAACAAAAGTCCCTTCACTTCGATAATGCAACAATTTGCTGCAGCATCCATCGGGCAATTCCGGCATACCCAACATCAACTATCTCGGACTGGGACTCCGCGTCCTCGATGGCCGCTCTCAAGATGCTGTATGATGATGCTCGGATTGCACTATTCATTAATTCCTATCCAGATCCTCGAGCTCTTTAGAAAAAGTTTTGACTGGCTTTGGCTATATTGATTTAATGCTAGACAGATTGGACCTTGGCCAGATCACCAAGTAATGACCATGTTACAGCATAGCTGTAACCAACAATACGGGGCCTTGTACGGGCCCCGCCACCACTAAGTCAGTGGCTTACCATTATACGTGCCCTAATTCTCGCCTCAGAGCTACATAATACAATTCACAGGTAGAACCGAGACATATACGTAAGAACAATACTTCATGGCGGTTCATGTGAATGCTTGCTAGCCAGAGTTGCAGCAGTAAGATACTCAATAAAATCGATAGTTCAAAAAAAAGCTTAGATCACCCTAAGCATAATCCTTCGGTCAGAACTTGGATCATAGAAAAGCCAATCGAGCCACAACTCCCAAGTATAGACTAAGTCATCTGGTCTCCCTAAATTATTGGCTCATTTTTCCGAGACCACAGTTGGCTGTTTGTTGAGCGCTTCCAATTCTCGGCTCCTCGGCGATGGACTGGTTCAGCGACTCGACGATGACACCCCCGAGTTTGGAAAGCTTGAGCGTGAACATATTTCCTCATTACAGCAGTAGGTCACTTTTGACGGTCATTGCCTGACACATCACAGCAGCTCACATGAGCTTGTCAATCCTCCGCACTAAGGTGTTGAGAACCGGAAGTATCGATAATCCCTTGGGCATCTCACCAAAGATAACTACACAGAAACTAACCTTTTAACTTTGACACAGACGACGGACTTCACGTTGAGTTTATTGAGCCTCTAAGGTTTTAATAATGGTAGATGCTGAGTCGGGGGAGCATAGTCTTACCCCTGCCGGTAGTCAGGTGAATTGTTCGCTATTACTTACTTCACTTTCACTCGCTTTTACCCAGCTACAACTACTACAATAGAAGAATGGCTACCATCATTCTCAGTACGTTCTCATGCCCTGGAGGCTTATTTGTGTGTGTGTGTGTGTGTGCTATGTGATATCTTGAGTGGGTGTTGGTCGGCAGTAGACACTACTACCCTGTTTCAATACAGATCCTCATATGTATACCGGCGCCGCGCTGCAGACACTACTCCCACACAGGCGCACCATTTTCTAGCCGGTCAGCCTCCTTTCTGAGAGCATCAACTCTGAACCGTCTGTACGCATTTTCGATTTTCTTTTCTCTCCCAGGATCCCTCCTGATAGATCTTGCCGCTCCTGATGTTCCAGTCAGAAGCCCTGTCTCACCACCTACGAAGAGACCGCCGAGACTGAAAAAGAAATAAGCTGCAAAGTCCCCCCATCGAGTTGGCTGGAGCAATGGCGTAATGTTTGGAATGGGTTCTAAAAACGTCAGAAAGCTCAGGAACAATCAACAAGCATGGACTACAACGTACCAGTTCTACCGCCGGCAAACACGACATGTGTAGGTTTTTCTACTGCACGGAAGGCGTTGAAAACATCCAGCCGCGCCTTTCTCAACCGATAAGCTATGTAGACTCCCAGGCCGAGACCAACGAGGGATCCAACAGCTGCGTGTACGGACACGGTACGTGCTGACTTCTTCAGCACGTCGCGATCAGACTCATCGAGATCGTGCTGGAAATGCTCCTCCGCGAGCTTGGCGAGATCCTCGTGCTGTTGTGATTTGCGAAAAGCGGCGAGCGACATGATGTACGGATGATTGCGTCTAAAAATTTTTATTGGTGATTGTTTCGTGATGCTGGATTGCTTCAACTTGATATGGTGAAAGCATGAAGTTTTTCGGAATTATTGAAATGTCGTCATGCTAAGGTTCGAGCCGCACCGTTCCGGATGACGTCACCGGCATGCGTGCTTCATTCTCCAGTGCTGTCCTCCTCCTCAACACACGAGGAGATGGAAGAGTAGTGCACATTGAGATGTGCCCAATTCGTCCGATTTTGGTGGGTGAGCTGTCGCACAACTCAACTCACAATTGGACGTCGTGCTGTGAAGAGTGCTACCTTCCCATGCCTCTGGACATCAACCTCCTTGAAGTGTTCTTTCAATGCATCTCTCAAGTCGCCCTCCTTGTCGCCTCGATTTCCGAAGACACCCTTCCAATTATAAATTTCCAGCAGGCATCTTCCCAAAGCGTTGTGTCCTGCTTCGTCGCCGAGGATGGTGGCGCCGTACAACACTCCAGTTACCGGGTTCAAGTGAGGCTTCAAAGCAGAAACCACAGTCTGCACCTTCTCTGCCATGGATCCGGATAGGCAGTGAAGCAGATAGAATGCTGATATTGAATCAAACATTGGCGGCTGTTCTTTATCCCAAGGTCTTGTCGCGTCATGAAGAATCGAATGGATGATTTCCGGTGAAACCCCTGCGCTTTCGAGGCGTCTTTTTGTCTGCGCGAGAGCATTCGCATTCATGTCCATAAGAAATATGCTGTCGTAAGAGGATAGCCTCGCATTACTGTGGTAAAGAAAATACCCCGTGCCGACACCCACATCGAGGTGGTTCTTCCCTTCTGGCAGATGTCCCTGAAAGAACGGGATGAGGATGTTTTTGGAGCTGCAGCACCAGGCGAATTGGTTAGATAGTGTGTGAACCACGAAATCATAAAGCCAAAGAATGAATGGCGTGTATAATTTTGCAGAAGTGGCCGAGAGGGGTCCGCCCGTTGGCGCTTGTGCGCCCGAGTTCATTTCGCGTGAGTGCGTGCTCTCACGATGCTGCCGAGAGACAACACAACCGACAGTCGCACAGAATTTGACGAAACGCTCCAACTTGCGTCCCCAACAAAGATAAATGAACTGACTCAGAGTCTAGAATTTCTTTTCTTGTTGAAAAACGTGTCAAACGGCAGTTCACCGCCAATGAAAGCTCGAATTTGGAACTATCGAATTTGATAGCCTAACCGGCTCACGGTACGGCCGTAAGTCGGTCCAGGGAGCGCCAAGCCGGCCTTATGATGGTCGTGCGGAACGCCGTCAGCGCGTATTCAGTTTTGATTTTAGATAGAGATCAGTCTCCTTTTGGCAGGTTCTTACTTGGAGTACATTGCAGAAAGCTCATGCGAGAGGTGTGGTTAAGGAAATGAGTGCCAATATTGTCAAGACGAAACTCGAAAACACCAAGATTGGTCTCCACCAATTACTAGTATTACATGTCCCAAGCCTGATATATCACCGCCAACGCCTCCTCTGTGTGTGTTGTTGGGAAATCATGCCCGCCGCCCACACTTTTCCACACCACTCTCTCCTTCCCGCCTACAAGTGGCAGGCCATCTACCTGGTAGTTGTCTTCGACAACAATCCCGTCTGTACGACCAAATATAATGATTGTCTTCCTGGGACCACGGTAAGAGAGTTGACGCCACGCGTCATATTGCTCCACAACTGGACCATTTTGAGTGCAACTTATGAATGCAGGAACAAAGCCCATATGGTGCACCACCATCCATCTTACAGATTCAAGGATGTCGAGATCGGCCGGATCGGCGGGGAGTTTGGAAGATGAGGGACTATCGGCAGCCTCGGCCACCACGGAATCTGTCACTACCTCGACCGGGGATCTTCGTGCTTTCACAGCAGTTGTCGAAATGGGGTGCCAGAGCCGCCTCTTCACTATTACCGTCAGGAGACGCTCAGGTAACCACCCTGACAACGCGATCCGGCTCATGGGGCTCAAATCACTTGTACGGACGAGACCAACCGGTGCAAGAAGAACCAGCGACTCAACAATGTCTGGGAAACCATTCGCAAAGCCGATGGAGATGGCGCCGCCAAAGGAATAACCGATGAGCCGGAACGCGTTCAGACCGGTCCACGGGAGTTGCGATGATGCGAGAACGAGAAGTATTTGAGTCGTGTACAGGCGGGTATCGTGCGGCAGATCACCAACGCCGTCTGTGAAGCCGCGGCCGAAGAGATCCTCGCAGAATAAGTCAGATTCGCTTGCCTGTACTCTTTCAATAGGTACAACCTACAAACAGCATCACTCTACACTTCTTGGCTACTAGGCCGTGAGCAATTTTCGCTACTGTTATACAAGATGTACTAATGCCGTGGACTAGAAGCACCTTCTGGCCATTTTCAGGACCCCATTCATAGACACGAATGGATCCATACTATGTCCAACATTAGCTTGTTCTCGCCATGGTCTCAGCTTTGGAGAGCAGGTCTCTACTAGCCGGCGTTGTGACATCCCGAGCGCCAGGAAGTGCATCAGGTTTGTAGTCCAATCTGTCCAATTCCTCCTCCGAAAGGGTCGGAATAACGGCTTGGAGAGGACTGGGTATTCTTTTTGAATAACTTGGACTCGTATAACGACGAGCCAAGAGAATGCAAGTGAAGGCAACCACAGCGGCCGTCTTGTGCCAGACTATGCTCCATGCGAGGCTGTTCCAGGATCTTGATAGGGATGTCAAATCCATCATTGACAGGCGGGCATAAGCGATGCAGGGACAGAAGAGAATTAGTAGACATCGACAGAGAGATGAATAAAATAGAAGTCAAAATGATGATTATCTTGCGCGCCGCCTAGTTGATTGTAGCATAATCTGCACGGAGTTCGGGCTTGTAATGGAATCCGTGTCCTATCCGATTGTGTCAAGGTGCAAAAGACCTCTAAGCTATGGCCCACCCTACTACTACAGCGCCTAGGGATGCGCAAATCCGGTAATCTTGATGTTTTTAACTGACTACGGTAATTACCCCAAACACACCTAGTGCCTAAGTAATTGGCCTCTAGCCGCCTGAAAGAGACACGAGCGCCTTTACTATACGTGTACACTTCGACTCCTGTAAGAGCTTCTATTGATCCCTGTATTATATTTATTATATAGTGAGATAGATCTACCTAGATCTTAATCTACAGTGATGATTTTGGACCGTCAGACGCTTGTCTCCTTATCTCTGCTACGGAAGTGGCTTGTGTACACATCTATTGATAGGTTGATAGCATACTTTTGCGCACTCGTCAGCTCAGCCGGCTACCTAGGTTATGGCGATTTTGTTTCGCATCTGAGATAAAACACGTAATATCAAAATTTTGAGAGATTTGGATTTTACATTATTGGTAGCCAAGTTCTAGGGCAAAGTTGAGACATCTCAGATTCCTTCTGTAGCAATACTGAACCATCATTGGGCACTTAATTAGGCAAAGTCTGCCCATTGCCCCCTCCATTCTCTCTTCCGTTCGTGAGATCATTTCTCCCCTTCATTCCTTGACTAAAGAGTCTCAGCTCAGCTAACAGCGCGGTTGCAGCGATGACACTGAAGCTCTTCAGGTCCCCGTACTCGTCTCTTCGGGAACTCATCAACTCAGTGCCCTCCTCTTCACGCCCCACATACATGCAAGCAAGACACAGGTCGACCGCGCTCATCTCGGTCATGTACCCCGTCAGAGGGATACCGCTGAGTCGCATTTGATCAGTTATCCAAGAACTGATGCGGTCAAATTCGTCTCGCAACTTGGTAGATCTATCACGTTGACGGCGTGTCGCAACTCCTGTGCCGTTGATGATGTGTCCGGTGAAGACTTCCAACTCGGTGATCGGGTGGATTGGATGCTCAGAGTAATCTCCCATGGCACTGAAGATTGCACCCTGGTAACTGTGTGACAGTGTCAGTCTACAACCTCGTCCAAATCGGATTCATGTACAATTACGCCGATCGAATGCGCCGTGCCTCCTCTAGGCGCTCTTTCCATCCGGAGCACCCAATCTCATTGCATCTGTCTGTCGCATGGAGTAGAAGCTGGTCCCAAAATGAAGGGCCACTCGTCACCGTTTTCTCGGTATGAATGTCCTCAAGCCAGATCTTTCCTTCATCCACAGCCCTGTACAGCTGGCCGAGCAGCTTGTCGGATTTGTAGTACTCATAACGGGGGCCAGCTTCATCGTCATCTTCGTCAATCTCGAGTTTCACAAGCTGCTCAAGCGAGATTTGTGATCTGTCAATGAGTTTGGTTTGCGGCCCTGGTGCCAGACTACATAACCGTTAGCAACAATGCTCGTTGAAGTCAAAAGAGAGTGGCTCTCCAATGAAATATGACACAGGTAGCTCACAAGTCGGGTCGAAATTTGCTGCATCGAGGCATTGTCAGCATGTCGACCTCGATTCCTGTCTTTGAGAAATCAACTGCAGTAGATGCCATCTCAGCCAAGGCCAAACAGTCCTTATCCAAAGTTCCTTCCTCCTTTTGATCCGCAAGAATCATATGGCGAGTACAAATGAGTCCCAGTTGATCTGTCTTCATAAAAGTTACAAAGAAGCTAGCCATGTCGTCCTTTGTAATGCTTCGACCGATGTCGAGGGGGGCCATTCGTGGATAGTCAGCGGCGGGAAATGTCGTGGTGGGCTGGGCATCTTGATCCCAGATGATGTGGTAGATATCTCCATCAAGATCACCTCCACTCAGTTGACTAGGGAGATCTCTAGGACCTTTGGAGCTGAAGACAACACAGTTGTTGTGGGCCTTCAACGGGTGCCCATCAGGAGGAATGACATTGTTCGCGACTTGAACGTCGCCGGGATGGAGAGCGGGCGACCTTGAAATCAGAATACGCTCGGCACTTGGTGGATGAGGGTAACGGCCAGACATGGAGCCGAAGATGACGAAGACCTCTCCTTCTTGGAGATAACCCGTCTCATCTATGACACCAAACAGTGTGATGCCTTTCTTCACAGGAATTCGCGCCTTGTGTTTGAGCAATCGCAGGACTCGAAGGACTGTCAATTCAACCACCGATCGCAGAAATTCGTCTCTACGATAGTCAATTCCGACTAGGTCGCAGTAACGAATGAGTTTGTGTAGGCCTATTGAGTCACTAATTCTCTGGGCCTTCAGGAAGTCCGCAGTATTGCTTGCGTTAGAGGTGATGGCGCGTAGATGTGCCAGCTCTTGGTTCTGCATCTCAAAGAACCAATCATTCGAAACACCAATATCTTCAAGAATCTTGATCAACTGGCGATTTAGGACGAGCGAGATTGGTTTCGATGCCACATCACAGATTTCGAGGTTGTTCATGTCCTTGGTGGGAAATTTGATCATCGAGTCTCGAATCTGAATAATGCTTCCAGAGAGACGGCTGTCCACGGCCAACATACCCTTTGCACCGCCCAATCGGACCTGAAAGCACGTCGGAGAGTTCTTGGTTTGACTGAGGTAGCCCCAAGTGGCGACCATGACATCCCACGACATGGTGCCAACGCCGTCACTGAAGACCCGTGTCCTATCTGGCGAAGTTATGTCTTCTATCTTAGTGACGAAGATCTCATTCTCTTTCAGTGGTACAGCGAATGGAGTTTCCGAGAATGCTTGGCCAATCCTGGCAGCACACCTGGCCGGAGAACGAATATTAGAGAAGTTGCCAAGCTCGGAGATAATCGTAGAGTAAGTTTGCTGCTTGTTATTGTCGTCGAGAAACGGACAGGAGAACTAAATTAATAACCATCGTTAGTCTTTTTCCTGGCTGAGATAAACCAAATTCCTTACCCAAACAGAATGGGCACGTAGAGAAGAATGGGAGAACCCCAAAAAGGTGTATTTCCGTCCCGCAATGATGATTTCATTCTGGAGAATGCTCCTGAATCTATCATAGACCGGATCGAGGCTGACCTTGGGATTGAAATGAAGATCACTCCCATCCTCCTCACAGAACTGCACTCGAATGAAGTAGTCGTGATGCTTGGGAAACTTTCGGAGGATTCTGTTCTGCGCCTCCATCTCGGGCCCATGAAGTGTGATCCTTGTTGGGGTCACCATGGCCCGGTTGATACGCGCCAGGTTGTGGCCCTGCGGCATTAGGTATCCATGATGAATCTCATCCTGATTGCGTCTGAGGATACTGATCAGGAAATTAGCATCGAAATGGTGCTGTTCGCCATTGGGTAGAGGGAAGTCAATTTTCTCGAAGAGCCTCTTCATTGCGTCTACAGAAATCGGTCTTCGTCCTGCTGATTTGTCCGCCGTGAAGGCTCGGCGCAGCTCCCTAGCCAAAGCTATCACGGCGCCTGGGTGAAGATAGGCGTTGTATGCCAAAGCTTGCAACTGAAACAATATGCCAAAGGGAAGGATTTTGCGTTCATCAAAAACCGCGAGCTCAACATTCAGAGTTTCCATCTGAGTCGTGAAGTCACCTAATCGTGGACTTGGCAAGCTCTGGCAGACGAAATCGTGCGATGTGATAACCATTGTCTCTTGGCGCTCAAGTTGTCGCATCTTCTCGTATAGCCCATCGGGAAAGATCTCGAATTGGTAGACCAAACATTGTCCAACCACTTTAGCATGTTTCTCGTCGAGCGAGCAGATACGGGAACGAGATGGCCCCCATGATCGAGAAGGCACTACACCCAGCTGCGATAAGATACTCGATAGCTCATCATCAGAAGACGAATAGAAGGAAGGCGAAGTATGAAGCACGAGTGTCAAGAGTCCCGATGCAGACCAAATGAGCTCCACTACACTGGTCAGGGAGATACGGATGTCGAAGTTGGATGGTAGTTTCACTTGCAAGTAGCGTTTGGTAAGCTTCACGACGACCCCTGGAGCATTCCGACTGATTTCAGGGACGAATTGAAAGTGACCGTTCGTGAATGTGCAATATCCGCAGCTCCAGGCCCTGAGGGTAAACGCCACCGCGTCATCCCGACTAGGCTTCTCAGCAGGCTCGGACCGCTGTTCGCGCTCTTCGGCAGCAAATGATATGCCTCTTAGGGTCATGGGATTGGGGTGTCCATCGGGCTCACCTTCCGCGTGGCGAGTGCTCAGCAAGCAGTAGATCGGGGTGTTCATGAAAACCAAATTTGCTCTTGAGCGTTGACCCCTTTGATTAGCCGATAGAGAGGGCTGTCCTCTGTCGCGTGGTGCGTTGAAGCCCCACTGGTTTTGGAGTCCGATGGAGTTGTCCTCCTGGCCATGCTCACGCAGGAAACGCTCACCGTCATCGCGATGCAAGAAAGTAACATTTGCGAACTTTTTCTTCTTCGCTTTCTCACAGTGATAGTCACTGATGGAGAGCTTTGTCATGAAAGGTTCCAACTGGGCTTGGAGGCTTCGCTCGGTGAGATGTCCTGGGACATTGTGCATAAAGACCTCCATAATGACTCGTTTGAGACCTGGCTGATCATCGGGCTTGGGTTCTTGTTGTGTTGAGATGAGAATGGCCTCTCAAGGGAGGAGGCTCGGATTGGAGGCTAGGTGAACGACGTCTGAGGGAGGATGGCCGCGATCAACAGACCAGACCAGCGTTTTCGGTGTATGGAATCACCGAGAATGCCTTTTCGTTGATGAGGACAACTTGACGGTTATTTGTGATCGTGGCGATATGCAAGAGGCCTTCCAAGACCACTGCGGGAAGGCAGGGAATCTCCTTGTCGCACGATGAAGAACGGCGATCGCCTGATGGTTGCACTGCTCACTGTCCTCAAGATGGAGCTGCTCAGTAAAGAAGGGGAGGAAACCAGCTGGGACAGACGTATTGACGGGTGGCAGATGGTCAACCTGGGGCAGGCTCAAGTGGTGTTGTATTCTGGTCGAGGAGAATGTACGGGTACGAGGCCGGGGTGAGGGCGAGAGCGAGCTGAGAGGTGGCAGCCCTAGCAACGGGTAGCTGCCTTGCGCGTCACTTGATGAAGACCAAAAGAGGGAGCATCCACCCCAGGGCGAGTAGCGGTGATTTGGGTGTTGTGCCTCCCCAAGGCACTTGAATTCTGTTTGCTTCGGTTTCCGCCTTAGAAGCACGGTTGGTCAGGTCCTTTGATATCGCTGTCAAACCCAGCCAGCTCACACTAGCAGAATGGAATATTAATACAATTGCCGTTTGCTCATATTGGCTTCAGTTTCCACGAACCACATGACTAGCCAAGATTGAGCCGACTTCCAATGATCAATCTACTGAAGCTTCTTTTAAGTCCTCTATCTTGATTCCCCTAAATTTTGCGGATCAAAACACACTTCATCATGACACTATGTCTATCAGGGCTTCAGTCAGTTGTCCTTACCCTTCCCTCAGCAACTACCCAGTAGCCTCGCTATTTGGTACATGTATCTTCAATGGACAACCTACGAAACCATCGAAAACGTTCATGGCTCTCATAGTTTATCCATTCTCTCTATTACGCTTGAAACACTTTCGGTGTCACTACTACTCGTTCCCTTGATGCAAGTATCGAATGGAGTATCAGACATGCATGATAAATCATTATAAGGGCCTCCTTGATAATTCAATCAATCTACCTCTTTCTATCTACTTAATCCCTAAACACGCTACGATACTGTAGTTAACAATCGTTCATATTTGATAAAACTATTTACTAAGCCCGATGCGCAATACACCTCCAGCAGGCCAATTCAATGAGACACGACCAGTAGTGATATAGGAGCGTGTATTATTATTCAGCGTCGCAACTCTCAGTCAGGACAAGCTGCTTCCCGAGGGTTGAACCTGTCGACTTCGAAACCTCTTACATAGCTGACTTACGGTCCATGCTCCACCCGCCGAGACAACTACCCACCAAATCTCCGCAGTTATGTGAAAGGTATCGTGCAAAACGACATTAATAATGTATGGCTATTGATTGGGCAGGATTCATCACGGACACGGACATCCGATGGTGGAAATAGAGGGCGACTTTAGCCTGGACTCAATGCCGCAGCTACTGGCAATGTTGGGTTCTGATGAACGCGTTTGATATGATCGCAATTAATCTAGGGATCAAGGAGCTTCTTTCGCTTCAAGCCGGCCTTCAAGTCACCGTTTGTGGCTTAAATCAACCGCATCGTGCTGCGATAGCTGAAGCTTAGCGACCACTGCCTGCACATGATTGTATCTAAATGTGGACATGGAATCAGGTACTCACCCAATAAGGATTCAAACAATTTCACGAGCCGTTCTGCTCATAACAACTCGCATCTGCCGAACATAGCGTAGAGACACATGAGCCCAACCAGGGCTTGAGCGCGTTGCCGTGGATTCATTTTGGGATGAGACTCAACCCTGGGTCCTGACATAAGTGAGGGGATCAAGAACTTCAGCCGCGGTGGAATGTTTCCGGATGCTTTACTCTGCAATGTGGACTTCCGGATTCCGGGATATCACATTCCTTGAACTCTACGTTTTCCATAAATACCAAGTCGTTCACCTCAATCTTGCCGTTACAATGTGATCACGACTCCTGCGTGCACACTAAAGGACTGCTGTAGCGGTCATTCAAATCGAGCTCAACTCCTCACGATGGCAATTCTCAGGATCCTCGCAGTCGCCCTGGCAGCGCTGACCTCAACACTTGCCGCACCTTCTCCTGAAGTTCAGAGCGCTTCAGCTGCCGCCAAGTACTGCGATGCATCGACAACCATCTGCTACTCTGAGTATACAAGCCCAGCAAAGGTTGTTTACCGAATTGCCATCCCAGACACTGCGACTGCCACGGCCCCTTTCGACGTGCTTCTCTCTATTGTAGCCCCCACAACCGTTGGATGGGCTGGGATTGCTTGGGGAGGACAGATGGCGTATAATCCGCTCTCCATCGGCTGGCCTAATGCGGCGACCACAGTTGTTTCCAGCCGACGTGCAACGTGAGTTGGACTTGAGACTGCGTAAGATGCTTTGTGGGAGGCCAGGACTAACAGGATCCTCATAGCGGTCACACCATGCCAGCAGCATATCCAGGCGCGAGCTACACGCTTCTTCCGGGATCCAGCACCAACTCCACTCACTGGACGCTGAATGTTTTATGCTCAGGATGCAGTCAGTGGACTGACCAGACCGGAAAGGCTGCGTCTCTCAATCCAGCGAGCACCGCTGTGCCCCTGGCCTACGGGTCCTCGGCAAGGGCCGTGACGCAGCCTGCCAACAACGCCAGTGCTTTCGCCGCGCACGACACAAAGGGGAAGTGGTCGCATGACCTCAGCAGCGCAAAGGTTGCCAACTTCAGCAGTCTTGTCGCTGCTTACATCCAGAGTGGAAAGCCAGCTTTGTGGTAGGGGATAAAATCAGTTATAGTGCTCTATTCGATGTATATCAAAAGCTGCTTAGATGACAATAGGATAGATATGTATATACGCTTTGATGGTAATAACTGTGCCTGCTCACTCTTTTCTGTTCCAGCACAATAGCTGCGGAACATTTCCACAATGATTGGCCTTCGCAAAGGCAATGAACAAGAATTCCGTTTCCCAGAGTACATCATGCTAGTGATCAACAGAAGAGACGTCTGAGAAATGTCTGTCTTCCCTGAGGCTTAGCTACAGCTTTAGCTACAGCTCAACAATTTTTGGTGTTTTCATCGTACAATAGGTTCTATTCATATTACACAGCCAATCCCTCCGGGGATGTTCCAGGGTTCAATCCACTTAAATGCTACGCAAGGTATATCCGCAATGCTGTCACGCAGGTTCTATCTTGCAAACACCTTGACAATGCCGTCTCCTCCGCCACTTACAACCCAGCGACCGCCCCATACAACAGCGCAGACGCCCTCGCCGCGCATAATGCGATGGGACGTGATCTCCTGGGTGCACGACCGTGTTTCCAGGGACCAAAAGCGGAGTGACGCATCGTGGCCAGCACTGACAAGCTCGCGGCCATCAGGAGAGAGAGACAGCGATGAAATGGCAGCCGGGTGGGCCAACATGTTGTAGGTACATTGACCTGGTGATGGATCAGCTTGTGTCTTGATGAAAGGTCAAACAGTGTCAACTTACCGCTGTTTGCGTCAAAGAACCGGATGAAGCGGTCCTCGTGGCCCGAGATGACGACACCCTCAACGCCGCTACCTGCCATTGCCCTTCCTCCGCCAGTCGGACCGCCTCCACTGTCCTCCTCGCCGACTTGATGTTGTGACTGGTCGAGGCCGACTGTTGTTGCAACCACGGAGTTGACACTGCTTTGAAGGGTACCGTCGTATGTCTCGAGGCTTGCCATATTTCCAATCTCCTCGCCTGTTCGGGTATCGTAGACAATAATCGCAGCATCAGAGTATGAGACAACAAAAGATTCGCCTGTTCCACTAAGAGCGGTGATGCACGTTGGGGAGGCTGCAGAGTTGGTGCGAGAGATAGAATGGACAAGAGTGTAGTGGAAGGGGCTGTTGGAAGCCACCGTCGGTTGAGGACTGCTTGGGAATGCCGAGCCGGAGCTCATGCTGTTGCCGCGAACACGTCCACCGCTGCCCGCACCTCGGCGGCCCGTCGCGGCGGCCGGCGGCTGAGGGCTGGTCATTTGTGGTGGCGCACTCACCGCCCAGACACGGATGGTGCCATCCGCAGCCCCAGATGCCAGTAGGATCCGGTCTGGACTGCCGTAAGGGTTCGTCTGACCAAAAATGGCGCCGAGTGTGGCTGGCAGGACACATAGTGACCAAACTGCATCAGTATGCCCATCGAGCGTCGCTTTAGGGTCAACACGCCCACGTTCCCAAACTCGTATTGTAGAGTCCTGTCCGCCAGAAAATATCCACCCATCGCCCTGAGCACGGCCGCCCGTGGAGAGGTTGGGAGACGGAGACCAAGATGCTAGACACATGACGGCTCCTGTATGACCGCGATGTGTGAAGTCCGCCTGAACGTCCAAATCCGATGTTGCGGTGTTTGCGCCGTTGTTGTGTAGGTGGCCTGGGTTGTTGCGCGGGATATGGAAGCGTTTAATCAGGCCGTCATCACCAGCGGTACAAATTTCCGGCTCGCCAGGACTACCTCCTCCGGAGAAAATGACTGTGCGGACAGTGTCTAGATGCCCGCGCAAGCCATAGCGAAGCTTGAAATTGCCGCTTTCTGCCTTTTGAGCCAATGCGTTCAGGGATAGCTCCTGCTCTGCACTTCTTCGACGTGACATGGAGCTCTTTCGCCGGTGGGAGCCTGGTCCACGATTGGGCGACTTTGGCATATTGTCAGCAGTGGGGAAGACATCAACGTCAGGTCGGTTGGACGACACGGGTATTGGTTCCTGCGAGTCGTTAAAGTCCCAAGCATCATCCATACTCTTCACAGCGGGTGCCACTTCGTTTGTCTCTCGGGGAAAAGGTTTCTGAGCCTCCACCTCATCGATAGCTCGGCTCGTGACAGACACTGGGCCAGGCCACTCGACAGCGGCAGGATACGCTGTTTGCTCCGTCGAACGCAGCATAGGCTGGGTTTGCGGCTGCATTACTTGTTGGGGAGGCTCTGCGGTCTTGACGGCATAGCCTTGAGGGGGCGCAGGTCGAGGAGCTATCTCTTGAACATGATTCTGAAGCTCATCCAGCAGAGGAAGCGGGGGCGAGTCACGAGGGGGAAGAGGGTTGGCGGGTGTAATCATCAGATAAGTGAATTCGGCTTGACATTGGTCGAGGAAGGTCTTGAGATCGGACCGTTGTGTCTCGTCGTCGGAGATTCTTTCTAATTCGACGCCCTCCATTTCGGTAGTTGCGCCCGGAATCTTGGCGGCAACTGATGCTGTTGAAGAGAGGTGTTAGCATAGGATGACATAGTTGCGATGAAAGGTATGGAAACCAGGGCATCAATCAGAAGAGGACATCTACGCACAGCGAAGCTTCTCCTGGATCAGGGCGTTGCGGTCGAGCTTCTTTGCCTGCTCGGCGTCGGCCTCGTGCTGTGCGTCGACCGAGGCAGAGGCAGAGGAGCCTTTCAGCTGGTCGCGCTGGTCCTTGACCTTCTTCTCGAGGATGGCGACGTATTTCTTGAGGGCCTTCTGGTTGGCGTCGGCCCTGCGCTGGGCGCCCTCGAGTGCGGCGATGCGGCCCTTCATCTCCTGCTTCTCAATCTCCCACGCGTTGCGGTCGCGCTCGTGACGGTGCCATTCGGTCTGGAGGAATCGCATGACGCCCTGGAGCGTGTACTCGGTGGCGGGGGGCTGCTGATTGCTCTGCATGTTGTTGGCGACCTCTCCTGGACCTCCAGGGCCGTTGCCGATGTTGGTGCCCATGGCCATGAGAACACGCTAGCTCATTGTGCGCTCAACGAGGACAGCGAACGGGGGGCGGGAGGACCGACGGCGGCACGGGGCAGAGAGCCACGCAGCGCGGACGGAAGCAAAAAGTCGCGATGGCGATGACGACGACGATGATGGTACAGAGGAGGAGATTCTCGCAATTGCCACGTCGCAGTGGCAGTCGTCGTCGCGGTCGTCGGGAATAGTGGCCGCGTGGATGGATGGGCGGGCTCCTCAATGGCCGTCGTGTAGCAGTCGCGCTGGAGGTTTGGATTGATGAAGCTAGATAGAGTCAGGTAAGGTAAGGTAAGGTAGGATAGGTAGGTAAGGCCAGGCGAGGCAAGGCAGGGTCGAGTTAACACAACGTTAGTAGCTACTGTAGGTAGCTGGCACACCTGGTTAGGTAAGCTGGTAAGGTATATTTTCGCAGTGGCCCGGGCTCAGAATCGCAGAGGAATGGAACTATGGAGCACTACCTAGGTACCTACTGTACCTATGTACCTACCGTTATCTCCTGTGAACAGTTAACAGCAGAAGCTGCATGGCCAGATGGCCGATGCGTTGCCGCCAGCATCGGCGACAATCACCTGGGCATAGATACTACTGTAGATAATTCTGTATCGATTATGCCCAATCACATTGGGAGTTCCCTTGGGCAAGGCGGCAAGGCATCAATTGAAACTCGCAACCCAGAATTCATGTCCATTTTTGCAGCACCCATGTCGCCCGTTCAGGGGAACCTTCCCTAGCTTCCCGCGCTATCCCACCTGGGCATACCTAGGGACAACGCACAGACCAGCCAACCAGAGCTCCCATCAATTACTTACAATGATTCTTCAGATCTGTTCTACCTTAGGTAAGATATAAGTCTATATTTTATTATTCCAGCTCATGCTGTGTAGCCAGAAGGGTATTCGTGTAGATGCTGGCATATGCGGGGCTGGGTTGAGAAGCCTGGCACGCACTTGCCATTTGAACAAGCTGGAATAGTCAGTGATGCTCGGCTGTAGATGGTCTTATCCGATCCTTTATAAGGACCCTGCGATGAAGATCGACATCCCGCCAGCACGAGATCCCAGATTTGTTAACGAGCGGAATCCGGGGGCGCATCGTTATCTGGCTTATAGCAAAGGCCAAGAGTCGCTGCAATAGCCTCGGCACCATGATACCTGTAGTCTTTGATCGTAACAGCCCAAAAAGCCGAGCAGTTCAACCCGCCATGCCCGTTCGCCAGGATGCTTTCTAACATCAGATCGCGAGTTGCGCTGGCAAATCCTTCTATCGCCAACACACGATCCAACACGAAGTTTGTGAACGCTGGTCAGCGCGCCTCGATAGTGTAGGCACGCCGGCAGTGAGTGCTGTTGACTCTTGCAGGCCTTGGCTTTCCTCCCCGTGTCGCTAATCCGGAATTGGTCTTCAACGGGCTCCCATAAGCCCAAGTCCCTTCTAGAACTCCAATTCTTCAACCTCCATTCCGCAGGTGCTACACGTCTTGACCGTGATGCCCTCCTCGTTCTCGACAGCCCGACCCCATTCATGAACATGTCGGCCGCCGGTACCCACTGCATCTCCAAACTTGGTCGCGCCGCCTGCCAGGTTGCCCGTCCCTCGCCGGTGCGCCTCGACCCGTGTCTTGCGCTTCAGGTCGTTCAGCTTCTCCTTGAACTTGGCCTCCTTCCGCCTCTTCTTGTCCGTCTCGCGTCGTTCGAACTCGGCGTCCAGCGCCTCAGCCGACCCCCACTTTGTGCCAAAGGCATATTCCTCCACCTGGTATCGTAGGAACAGCATCATGTCGTGCCAGTGAGACTTGTGGGGATTCGGTCGCGAGAGATGTGGTAGTAGATCGGCATCCTTGAGCTCGGCTAGACTACAATTAGCATAGGGAGTACAAATGGAAGCAGTCAGAAGCTTGGTGTGGCATCAAGGGGACGTTGGCACCACTCACGTTCTGTTAAGAGGTAATCATCCCGGCATTCGGTCTTGGTGAGAAGACTGTACTTCTCCGGGAACTTGTCCTTGCACGAATTGCAAACACAGCAACTGAACACCTCCTCCCAGACCCAGTCAATCTCGAGGCTACCGCACTCTCGGCACTTTTTCCTCTCCTTCTCGTCTGTCAGGACACTCAACCCAGGCTCGAAGGGGCCAGCCTTTTGGCGTTGTAGCTTTCTTATTAGTTGTAGCCTCTCCCACTCCGCCGCCGTCATGTTTTTCGGCTTCTGCTCGGGCTCGGGCTGGCCAGGCCTATCGCTAGACAGGGCATTGTTCCAGGGATCGTCTTCCGTTGACAAAAAGCCTCCCTTTGTGTCCGTCATGGCACTGAAGTTGTAGTCGACGAATTTGGTAAACTTGCGCGCCGGCCGGATCTCGCCCTCACCATCCCTGTTTGCCGAAGACCGAGCATCGCGATTGCTCGAAGGCACTTCAGATCTAGCGATGGACTCGAATGGTCGCTTGCGGGCCTTTGGGCCACCAACAACGTGGATATCATCTGTGGCGACAAACCCGGAAGAGGTCTTGTGGATGACGGGTGCGGTGCCGGATGCTCTCTGGTCAGCTTCTTTCTGGTCGCGCAAAGCCTTGGATCGGAGACGAGATTCTTCCTTTGAAACGGCACACCGCGGTTAGCAAGAGGGCGTCGAGGGCGCGTGTTAGGACCACGGCACCAAAGCTTACAAGCCGTCTCGTCACCTCCGGAGTTGGTGGTGACTGTGCCGCCGTCGACAATTGGGCGGATCTCTGTGGTGGGGTCGATGGTCGCTCCATGGCACCGGAGTAGAAGAGGAACGCCTCTCGTATGGGTTAGAAGAGAGGCAGCTTGAAGCAGGTGCAGGATAATCCGGTCCCCTCTAAATAGCAGAAGAAGGAAGAAAGACGATGCGTCGTGTTACGGCGAAGGTGAAGCGTGTGCACGACTCGTCGCCGGCGGAATTATAGGTGATGTCAGGCAAAGGCAATTTAGGTATGGTACGTACCGGCTTAGGGTACCTGCGGCTGCTGGATGAGTGCCGACCGTTCGTCTGGTAAGCTGCAAATGGATTGATCAAGTCTACCTGATCACAGCAGGGCGGTACTCGGTAAGCACGCGCATTCCTGCGAGACTTTTACAAGGTAGTCGCCACGTTTCAACAGCAGTTATTCATGAAACTCGATGTACAGAATGCCCTCGCCGCACACGCGCTGAGATCTCATATTTGGAGGTTATTAGATATGTATTTGGTTCGTCCTGTGCGAGGACATGCGCTCCATTTACTACATCATGGAGCACACGCTGCTATCTTTGCCCGTCTACCCAATCTATGTAAAGCCCACAAGACAAGAGTATAGGTGACCGTTATCGCTCCTAGCTGCTCAATCTACCGTGAACACGTCACGAGAAGTGGCAGAGACTTCCTTACTCCTCCTTGACGCCACCACGGCCGGCGCGCTCGGCAGCCTCGATAGCCTTCTTATCGCTCTGCGCGGGGCCACCGGCCATGCTGCTCATGAAGCCAGCGGCGGCCTTGAATGGTCGCTTGAGGTCGCCGGTGGCGGGCTGGCCGAAGAGGTGAATCTTGACCAGGTTGGACTCGAAGGCGCCCTTGACGGGGATGATGGACTGGATCAGCAGGGGGTTGGTGTACTTGAAGTAGAAGTGCATGACGCCCATCATGGCGACACCCATCATCTGGGAGCGGAACATCTGCTTGAGCTGGCCCATGTCGTAGGCGTGGACCGTCGTGGTCACCAGCTTGCCTTCCTCGGTGGAGCCCATCGGCGCCGGCTCGACATACTTGAGGGTGGTCAGGTCTGCAAAGAGGGCACAGCGCGTCAGCACACAACACATCGCCAGAGGAGTCCATCCATACGCAGACTCGTAGTGGCATGGACGGTAGAGTTGGAGGAACACAAGATACACATACCCTTTTTCTTGTCAATGGCGGTCTTCAGGTAGAGGTAGATGCCGAGGATGACCAGATTGCTGAACACGTAGAGGGCGCGGCAGGCATTGAGCACATTGGGGTCATCGAAGGGCACCTTCTTGGCAACTTGCATCATGCCGAGGATGATGACAATGTTGGTTCTGCCCGCGAGAGTCAAGAGTCAGTAGATGTTCCAAGCAGCACCCATCACCAACGAGCCGAAGGAAGTCGAGATCGAGAGCGCGTGCGCCCGCTCCCGCTGGCTGGCGCAGAGAGAAAAGAAGACAGGAGGGTCGGGCACATACACTTGGGGGCTGAGGCCGGCCATTGTGACTGACGGTGATGGTGATGATCGAGGATGGAGAGAGTCGAGCAAAGTGCCGGAGCGAGTGTTGATCTTGGTCTCGATCTCGAGGGCTCAGGACGCTGGAGATTGTCTCGGGACAGAGTACCTATGTAGGTACAGTACCAGTATGTTTGTGGGAGGAGTGAGATGGCGGGCGAATTTTGCGCTGTCTGTGGTGAACGAGGTGCGACTGTCGGAAATTCGATAGCGGAGCTTGCTCAAGTGAGTTAAGGCCAACCTGGAACTTTCTAGGGTACAACACACTGCACCTACAGTCCTACACTACCCGGTACTACACGCGGCGGGGCCACCGGGCGCCCCGCCACCTCAGCGATCCCGCCGCCTGAAGAAACAAAAAGAAAGACGCACGCCATCCGCCCGCCTCGCCCCTACAATTTTCCGGCAGGCCCCGGCGTGGTGTTGAAGACCAGTGTTAGGACACCTTCCTCATACAGTAACTTCCTCACGAATGGGGCTCTGGGGCTCTGTTAGCCTCCAACCAGCGAGTAAGACACATTCTATTTCAGATTCACTGTCACTGTCACTGTTAAGAGCTGCTTGAAAGAGCATCCTGACTCGCCACCTTGGGGCAGAGTATCAGCACGTACGTTTGCAATGAAAGACACCACTAGCTCTCAAGCGTTAAGCATCTCGGCGGATTGCCTCCCCTATGTCGTCACCCCCCGAGTTCCGTAGAGTTTCCAATCACACATTATCTTACAACTCTGGGATCGCGTCCAGCAGTATGTCGTACCGCTGCCAATCCCTGCATTTGCTCGGTCGTGATGTTCTCAAGGCATCTTACCTTGGCAGTTTCTCTCATCACGCCTGTTGAGTTGATCCCCCTCTTGCCGGGCATCAAGGAGCCACCACGTGTGGGGAAGCCATTGTCCTTCCCCCCCGTTGACTTCCAATCTAAGCCACACCAATGGCTCATAGGAAAGGGTTGACGGCATCCCAGAATTCTTGAGGATTCTCACACATGGGCAAGTGGCCCGCCTCTGGTACGACCTTCAGCTGTACACCAGTTGCACCAATGCCCCCCTTGAACCCATCCATCGCCTTGACCAGAGCCCCCTTGCCGTCGCCTTCGCCCACGACGAGCAGCCCTGGGATCTGACACTCTCCTATAGTCTCTTTCATGTTGTAATCCCATAGGGCCTGGCAGCTGTACCTGAACCCCTCAATGTCGTTTGCACCAACCATCTCCGTCATCCAGCTTGTCACGTCCTGCTTCGAGGTCACCGTTCCCGGATGGAACCACCTCTCCACAGTCTGCTTTGCCAGCTTTTGGATGCCTGGCGTCCCATCGACAGGTGTCTCCGCTACTGTAATCCGCTCTTTCCAGGCCCTAGTGTTTGCTTCGCTGCTGGCCGCGTTGAAGTCACAGGCCACGAAGCGGCCCAGCTTCCCTGGATACTTCAGGGCGAACTTCAGGGTGGTCGCTCCTCCCATGCTGACCCCAATGAGAGCGTGAAGTTTCTGAATGCGTAGCGCCGACAGCAGAGTCGCCAGATCATCAGACAGCATGTCGAGGTTCGCGGCGACGGGGGGACTGGGGATGGCGTGTCTGCCGCGCGTGTCGTAGCGGAGGATACGAAACTCTGGCCGGGCAGACTTCAAGATGTCTACCAGCGGATCCCACATGTGCAGGGAGGTGAGGAGCGAGTTGCAAAAGGCAAGGGTCGGGGCATTCGGCGACGAATTGCCCTCCAGGCGATATGGAATTGAGAGCCCATCTGCCGTGGTGATATAAGATGAAATGACAGGCCAAGAACCCGGTGTGGTAGAGGTCAAGCCATCGGCAGAGGTGAACGCAGCGCTCGATGGCAATCGAGAGAGCGAAGAGAGGTCGCGAGGCGCAGGCCCAAACACATAGAAGGGGTTGTACGTCCTGCGTCCCTTGTCGGCCACGAACTTAGCAAAGACCTGCTCCCTCCATGGTGTAGAAGTGGCCGCTTTGTACTCGGGTCCTCCGAGACCATTGGCTTTGGCATACTCGTAGAGGACAAGGTATTTAAGAGGCGCATCCTTGTCGAGGCTGGAGGTCCTAAATCGGCGGGCCCGCAGCCAGCCAGGGACCTTGGACAGCATGGGAATGTGTTCCTCCTCAAGCCACGAGATGTATCCTTGTTCTGCACCCTCCACTGCCGTCAAGGTCATCTCAACAGCAACGAGAACAATACCCTCGGCCTCCTCGTCCGTCAACTGCTCGATTGGGACCCAGTCCGGCGATTCTCTTGTGGATTGCAGGTCGTAAAAGTAGCGATTCACGTCCACCTCGCCAATTGTTTCGGCCTCCCGTGACGATCTGTTGGCGCGCAGAGTCAGGTAGGTCGGCGTCTCGAGGTGGGACATTGAAGTCACATCATAGACGGCGAGAAAAGTTGGTTCGATGGCATCAGTTGCGCGGAAGCGTAGACCGTTGCTGAAGATCTGAGGGATACGGACTCGAGTCGGGCCGTGTTCGTTGTTGTACCATTCATGAAATTGATCCAGAGACAAGCCCGGCTTGGGTTGCATAGTCACATAGAGGAGTCCTGGAGATGCCATCTCGTCCAATGCTTCCCAGGTGTGTCTGGGTAGAGCTGGCTATGTTAGGGATTGGGTACAGAGATATTAGGACCAACGACAACGGCAGCAGCAGCAATAGCAATAGCACCCAACAAATCAATAATATAGCGACGACTTCGGCAGGCAAGATCAGATCTATCCTAGGATACCTTAGTATATCTAAGATATATGGAAAAGGCCAGCGGCAATTCCCCGCGGCCATGTTCCAAGGTCCCCTTCCTAAGCTCCTGGCACCGGAGGTCGTTTCGGCCCTAGAATGACGTTTGGGCCAAGGTTGGCGGGGTCGGCAGCGCCTAGCGGGTTGAAGATACAGCATTTAAGCCGGCCAGCGCGGGGCTGTCGCCGGCGGAAAAGGGATTTCCCCAGTCCGCGCCACCCTCACGAAAACAACGCGGATCACAACAAGGACCTGACTTCTCGTGCCTGCTCGCAACTCAGTTATACTCGATGCTAACTCATGCGGTGTGTCTCAGTATATCTAGAGTAAGTGTACTCATCTGGAGCGAGTCTCTTTTGTGGAATTGAGTCTCCTGTTTCCGGCAACTGAGCATTCCACAGGCCAGCACGATCTCACAGTCTAGCATCGACGACAATCACAGAAAGGAGAAGATGTCGCCCATGGGAAGAGACCACTGTTCCTGTTGATATCGCGCATTCTTTGCTGCAGCGGGTCGCTTACTATCACAACTGCTATGGCCCAGCAGCGTGTCCAGACACGCCGCCAGAGTACATACAAATGGTTATGGATAAGTATTCTCGCCTCCGCCTTTATCCGAGACCCGCCCAAACTAGATCTCTCTGAATATGATGGGACCGTTTCGCGCCTCTGAATGTCTCCAACCTCCTGGTGAACCTGTGCATTTGGACCTACTCATTTCACGGATCCTCAAATATCTCTAGGCTCAGTGAGGTCAGGCCGTCTCGCACAAGTGTTGCCAAATCGGAGCCCGCTCGCGCCTGCCCACTGAGACCCCTAACGATCAGACGGCGCCCAGAGTTCCTCGGTGCCACCAAATCTGCCACCTGATGCATGTCGCCAAGTGAGCAGCTGATAACAAACTTGATACCATTTGGAGCTTGTGCAGATGTGACTGTGTAATCGTGGACTGCGAAGTGGACGGCTGTAGTTTCAGGGGCTTGATGTATCGTGGCATGACCCTGATCAGGCATCAAGGGCGAATCCGGACTGCGCATATATGGCCCCGAAAGTCTCACGCTATTCCAGAAATCGAGGAATGAGACATATAGTCGTCGGGCCGCGCAAGATTGGGACAACCTGGGATTGTTGTTCGCTGTACGAACAGATGGTCGTCTTCTTGGAGATGGATCCTTCTCGTAAACATCCTCTTCCCCTTCTGTGTAGTAATCTGCCGCTTGAGGATGGTGCATGAACATAAAGGAGGATTCTGAGGGCGTAGATTTCTTGACTTCCTTGTCTTTCGTTTGCTTCGCCTTTTTATTGCGGCTTGAGTGCTTCTTCTTCGACTTGCTCGAGTTTCCGTGACTGGGAAAGAAGAATTGATCCATGCTGATGGTGCTCAGTGTTGCTTCATGGTAAATACACGTCTTCAAAGCTATGTTAGGAGGGTAATAGCTGGCAGCCACAAGAAATGAATGAGTGAGCCCAATTATAGCCCTATCAGGTCTCACGAAAGTGTCACGTCACTCCTAACAGTAATTCTGCTTGGCAATCAACTCTTGTCTTGCTCTCTTTCAGATGACAACAAAGTAGCTCCAGCATGCAGCACTCATTTTAGCAAACTTCCTCAGTACTATTGCCTTTGCACAATCACAATGCACGTAGCGGCTTTGATGTAGGCTATAATGCAGTAAAGGCAGAGTTGATAATAAATTCAACAACAGAGGCCGGTTATCAGACGACCATGACTCAAAGGTTGAATATATTGCATCTTCGCACTCAGGAAATAAAACATAGAGTCAACACTACACGAAACATTTCAACGCTTCTGCACTCGCCACACTCTTACATAACCTCTATAGAACAAAGACGTAAGACACTTGACGAGAATATGAGCAATTTGAGGATGTACGACAATGTTTGTGTACTTTTCGTCGTGCTGGTGGAGAAAAGACCCTTAGTCAAGCAACAAGATGCTGGTGCTATCTGATCTCGTTATGCACACATCTCAAATCTTTTTGACGGGCCGATTTTCGATGCAAACCCAAGCCTTCATACAATTAATCCATCTTTGAATGCTGATGTGTATTTGCTACATCTAAACGCTTGACTGCTGCAACGCTGAAGAAATCAAATGCTATGCCTTGTTATAATGCTGTTTTGAGACAGTCACATTAAGAGAATGAGCCATGTTTGGGCCTGACATAAGGGTTAGCGGTCTTGAGTCATTCAGCGCCAAGTCAACCTACTTTTGTTCTATAGCCTGCGGATATGTCCAAAAGATAAACGCAGACGCCAAAGGGTTTGTCAGACGCCTCCATAGGGAAGGACCAGGGATATAGTGGCTGGTTCGATCATATTCAAAGAAAAGGATGGCATTCCCAAGTATATTGAGAAGACGCGACAACCTGAAATCTATTAGTGAACTGCAACCAAAATAATACCTAATCATGGGAAGGGGGAAAGCCTACATATTACCAGCTATCATCACCAGTGAACCATAAGCGATATTGAGAGGAGATGCCTCCCTTGCACATAGTTGAATCAGTCTCCAGAATGGAGCTATCTGCTGTCAGGTTAGGATGCAGCAAGATAATTTAGAGGAAACAGTGCGTACCCAGATACCCACGATGACCAGTTCAATAAAGAAGGTCCAATGGTATGTTCTCACACGCGAGCCTCTAAATAGCAAGACCCCAATGCAGATCCACATCAAGAGGAAGTTTACCTGTTTTGTTGTCAGCCAAATCCACATCAACATTGAATCAATACGGGAGTAGTACCGTTGCGGGCGCAAAGATCAGTATATCATGCCGGAAATATCTCCAGCAAAGGGCAGAGGCAGTAATGCCGAACGACAACTGGATCCAGCCCAGGCAGAAGTAAAACAGCAAAACATTCGCATATTGGCCGTAGCAGGATATATGAAACTGGACATGGCCATTTGCAGTCTCGGTGGTGATCGGCCACCCGCACCATCTACACACCCAGTAGTCGATCAAATTGCCGAGGATGATCTTCTTGCCCACACGAACGGTGCCATCACGAGTCTGCCGCGCACAAGATATACAGCGACTTGACAAAGGGTACCCAACATCCTTGGGAGTAGTCCGCAGCCGATCGAAAGGCAATGGGAGGAACCTCAAGCAGAGACGGCAGTGCGCAATCAAGATCTTGCGGAAGTTGTCAGGCCCGAAAAGTGCGCGGATGACGGCCGGTGATGCAAAGGCGTGAAAGTATGTACATGTTTGGCGAAGGTTGTCGATATCAACAAAGCTGAGTTGGCGGATGATCATCAGTTGCAGCTCGTTGGGCAGATTCATAAAGGTCCTCGGTTCCTTGATCTTTGGAGGTGACTGCTCGGCCTTACTCCTGGTGTGTGTGAGAGTGATCTGATCTTCATCTGTGAGGCCCGTTTCGCCAGCTCCACACGCTTCCAGGTCTCGGGTCGTACCGGTGGTGGTATTTAGCCCGGACGTTTCGATTGAGGTTAGTGATCGCCGGATGTCGTTCGCAATGCCGGTCGCACAGCGAGATGCGTGCTCAACGGCACTAGAATGACGCTCCATGGCCCACCCTCGATGAGATGGAAATTTGATGACCATATGAATGAAGTGCAGACAGATTTGAAGTCAGCTCAAGTCAGCGCAAAGGAATCTCGCCCTGGGCGGCAGCGCCTCAGCCTGATTTCGCAGGAGGCGGGGCGGGGGAGGGGCGAGAACATCCAACACCTGCCAGGCCTATCAACGACAGCCGCTGCAAGACACCAGCTGAACAAGGTGATTCCTCAAATGGACACTCTTGAACACGTGAGAGCTTACTATGAAGCGATTTTCGATAGCTTTTGAGGAAGGACACGTTTGTCGGATCATGTAAGCACTGTAAAGGAGGAATCCGAGAAGCTTGGGGGAAGGTAAGCACGGAAAGACGCGGTAATATCAGCCACACGTCAGGCAGCCTTTAAATGAGTCCTATATGTGGAAAATACAATAGTCTTCGTAAACTGACTATGCAGTAACTCCATGATCTAGTCGTTAAACTGGCACATCTCCGAGTAGAATTTGTTACGACGCTGAGCTAATGTGCCTACAGCAGTCGGAGCGCAGCCAGAGAGCCTCACTTGAGCCAAGCTATCTACCTAAGGTAGTGGCAAATAGCATATAGGTTTCCAAGGTTACCTAAGTTCGAAGACATTGCTGTTGCGAAACCCGAAATCAGCAATGGCGCCGTGGGTCTTTTCAACTATCTCAATGTTATAGTTCATATGAAGCGACACCCAAGCGCGAGTACCAAACCCGCCGTCGCAACTGGCTCTACTCTTGTGACAGACCGTAGAGCGCGTACGAGCATATAATTGGGTAATGGAAAGTTCATTAAAC